CGCGCGCCGCGACGCAGGGGTTTGGACAGTGGCCGTGGCGGTGACTGCTCCTCACCGACATGGCGGCCCCGGGAAGGCGCTCGACAAGATGGCGGCGCGCACCAGCCCGGGACTAGAGGTACGAGATCCATCCGCGCGCCGCGCCCCGCCCGTGGCCCGAGCGCGTCGGCCATTGGAGGACGCGGCCCGTCCATCACCTACAGGGGCGGGGTCTCGCCCTTTCTGCGTAGCTGCGGAGGCAGCTCGGTGGTGGGAATGGGTCAGCCGCGTCGTTCCGCTGCGAGAAGGCTGGGGAGGCCCAGAGGCACCCTGACAAGCCTGATTCGAAGGTTGTCCCTGGGCTGGGCTGGGTGGAACAATACAGGACGCGCGCTGTTCACGCGTCTTTCTAAAACACCTTGGTTGTCCAAATGATGGAGATGTACTTTCTCCTTCAAGGTCGTAGCGAGTATCTCTAGTATTCAGAGCTCAGAATCGCGTTTTGAGGAAGATAGCCTGGCGTGTAACTTGTTCTGATATTTCATACTGTTTATCTACCCCGTTATTAACTAATAGAAGGAAAACAGCTAGTAAGAATTATAGAACCTGTAAGTTACATAATTTTGTAAACTTTTAACATTTAAATATAGAATATATATGAATATTTTATAAATACAGGCAAATGGCTATTACATTTCTTGACAGGAACGTGACCTTGAAAATCATTTCTGACTAGTCAGTGTTATTGCTTATATAGTATATTGCTTAGTTCTGGAGGAAAGTTCCTTTTGTCTTTGCTTAGTGTGAATGAAAAAGGGAGATATAGTAGACCCGACAAGCTCAGGGCCACATGGCAGGCCTGGCAGGCTCAATGTCCCAAAGTAGCTGCGCAGGATTGTCTAATGACAAACTTCTAACTGTGCTGGGCGGTGTGGCTACCCCGTGTGACTTGCCCAGTTAGGAATTTGGGCAGGTCATGCCGGGTAGTCACTGCCCAGCCCTGTGGCTTCCTTAGCAGACATCACTCTGCTTTGAGTGCTGTCCATTATTCCCACTCCTCTAGGATGACACACCTTTGAGATGTCACCAGTCTTGTCCTACCCCTGGAAGGCACAGCTGCTGGCATCAGAGCACAAGACCTCAGGACCCCTTGTGACCTGGATGCAGGCACACCATCTCTATTCTTTAAATGTTAAGTGTTGGCTCTCTTGTACCCACCAATGGAAAGGAAGTCTGTGGCACCCATTTTGCTTTCTATCCAATCCCAGACACTTCCCAGCTTGGCTTCCTGCCTCTTCCCTGACTCACCACCAATGGATTTCCTGGACCTTCCTTACAGTCTCTCCTTTGATTTTAATGCAGACAAGGAGCTGGAGGACTGACATTCTCCCAGCTTTATCTCTTCCTGTAGAAACTACAACATTCTTGAGTTTAACTGTGACTCTGGTTAAGAAAGCTTTCCAACCACGTGCTAGCTTCTCTTCTGAATCCTCTTAGCACTTGATACTTTTTAATGGACTTTTCTGCCTAAAAGTTGTGTTTATTTTAAGCCCACTAGATGACAGTAACTCTACAAGTCCCGTAAGCTCTCCACACTTCTGTTTCCTTATCTGGAAAATGTGGAATAGCCCCTATAGGCCTTTCCTTGTAGGGCTGCTGTGAGCATTAGGTGAGCCGAATGTAAAACAGGCCTGCTGTACAGTGAGCGCTCAAACCAATGTTAGCTGTTACTATTGCTCTTAGAAACACTGGGATTTCCATCAAAAGGAGACTCCTAAGGACTGAGCCTAAAAACTATAGTAACTTTGAAAAAAACGGGTCGGAAAACACAAGCATAAAATTAGGGCGGAGCCGCTGGGGGTAGAAGCGCGCATGCGGAGAGGGGACGGGCGGCGCATGCGCGGCGCGCCAACGCGGCTCCGGGTATTTTCTCTCGCTCCTCACGCAGCGGTGGCTGTCAACTGGGCAGCTGCCCGGGCCTCGACAGGGTATGGATTTTGAGAATCTTTTCTCCAAACCCCCTAATCCGGCCCTCGGCAGGAGACTGGCCACAGATTCTGACGACAGGTGATGCCCCGTGTTTCCCAGCTCCGGTCCCGCCCTCCCGGGAGGCTCGGGTTGAAGTCGTGGGGGGCATGGGTCTCGGGGGTTTGCGGGCGGGCGTCGCGTGGCGGTGCGGTGCGCGGATGGCGCGAGGGTGGCGGCGGGAGGCAAGGCCTGGCGGGGCAGGAAGGTGGCGCCGGGATGCCTCCGTCTCTCCCGGCCCATGTCCGCATAGCACGTGAGATCTGGAGGACGAGGTCATCCACCATTTCTCAACAACACGTGCTAGTGGTGCTTTTTTGTAGAAGGGACGAAACCGCCAGTTCAAGGAGCTCAGGGCGAGGAGTGAATAGTCCGCCTTTAGTGCGCTGGTTTGCACCAGAGAAGGCTGACGACCACCCCACAGCAGCAAACACCATCTGGATATAGTATTTCCTTCAGGTTGAAAGGGAGCTGAGACCTCTGGCCGCATGGCGCTAATCTATTGATCTCATTCTTGGGAACGTGGGTAGTGGACTTTGTTTACTTTCTCCCCTGTGACTTCGGAGTGCTAAAAACCATCGTTTCTTGTAAACCTGTGTCTTCGCCTCAGTTTCTCTAGGCTGAAACCATGACACACAGCCTTTATTCCTTTATTTTCCTTCTTGATAGATCTCTTATTCTGGCTGACTCTACCTACATGTCACTCAAATCTGTTTCCATCTTTCTGTCTCACACACCTTAACGGATGCTTTAATTCCAGCTACCATCGGAGCTTTCCTACGTGCTTTCCGTAAAATGTCATTTAACATCTTAACAGCCTTAAAGAGAAGGTATTGTCTTTGTTTTTATAGATGAGAAAGTCGAGGCACAGAGATGATAAAATACCCTGCCGAGATTACACAGTGTAAGTGGCAAAACTAGGATCGTTACCCAGTCTTACTCCAGGACCCATGATTTAACAACCATGCTTCTAAGGCAAAATGACGAAAATACAATAAGGTCTATAAATATTGAAAAGAGACAAGGACACTAATTGCTTGTAGATGATATCAGTTACAAAGAAAAAAGACGAATCAATAAACTTAAAATATATGAGAAATCAGCAAGGTGAATCATCACAAAGTAGACAGTAGCAAGATTTAAAAACCCAGTAGCAGCCCTCCATTCCAAAATGTGTTGGACAAAAGGGTCCATTCACAAATTTTACTGAACTACTTTTCTGTCTCCTTTTATGACACTTGGACTTTTGCCAAAATGTCAGGCAAAGAATGATAATGGTAATTCCTTGTGGTTACGGTGCGCATCTGTGAACTGTTCCTTGTTCATAGCCTTTGCCCCTTTCTCTTCGTTGGTCTTTCTCTTTAAAATTTTGGGATCTCTACTCTGCAAATATTTTACTCTCTGTTTGTCTTTCGACTTTGCCTATGGCATTATTTTCAATGCATAAATGTTTTTTGTTTTAAATGCAGTCAGATGAATCAATCTTTTATGGTTCCTAGGTTTTTTTCCTAGTAATTTTATTATGGAACTATTCGTGTACTAAGCACCTGCTAGGTTGGAGATGTTATTTTAGCCCCAGGGACATAGCAATAAATAAACAGAAGAGAAAAAAATTCTGATACTTGGGAGATTTATTTTATATCCTTGGGGCTCAGACGATATGTAAATTACAACAGGTCAGGGGAGTCACTGCCTTTTGTTCTCACCATGAGATGAGATGAGATGAGATGCGATGCGATGTGATGTGCCACGCCAGGAACTTAACCCTTATGTGTATCAGTCAGCCTGTGGCGAGGCCGGTCTCCTTAATGTGTTACTTCGCTGCAGTTCCAAGAACCCTCTGGACGATGGCAGTGAAGGCTGATGGGATCGCATGTTGGGCGATGGTCAGTGCAATGGCCAGTGCTTGCGAGAAGCGTGAGTGGGGAGGTGGGTAGGAAGCGAGGATGGTGGGGGACGCAGACATTCTACAGAGGTAGCTAGGGAAGGCCTCGCTAGTGACACTGGTGAGTCATATTTGAGCTGGACCTGACAGGGCGACGGAGGGTGACATCTAGTAGGAGAGCTCCATATAAGGGTCCTGAGGTGGAGCGGGCTTATTGGTAGCAAAGTGGTCAGAATGCTGCTGTTATGTTACTCCACTTGGGCAGGGTTACTTCCTGCTTGCGGGGCTCCTTGCTGCCGGCCGAGCAGTGAAGGTTTGGCAGTTGATTAGTTGTGCAGTGGTGCTCCTATGGACAACCCACAGCCTGGTCGCTCGAGGGTGGGGGAAGCTGCAGCTCTGCATGAGGACAGGTCGGGTACCTGGTGGTGGACGGAACCTGATGCCCGAGCTCTGCAGCTTAGAGAGGCCTGGCGCTGCTGTCGACATCCTGGCACTGGTGGCTCTGCATTTGGAACATGCTGTGATGAGGGCGTGCGCGATGCCCAGTCCTTTCCTTGCCCTAACATGTGACTCAGGTCTCAGGCTTTATTTAGTGGTCACGACTTGCTGAGGCAAAACTGTCTTCAGCCCCCATGGCTATGGCGTCAGCCACTGTTTCAGTTTACCTATACATTTTATGGGCTTCTTTGTTTACCGGTTTCTTGTATTTCCCATCTTCGTCTATCTTGGGTTCATGTCTCCTTTTGCTGGAATGTCCTTCTATGCATGTTCACTTGCTCAGGCCTTGTGAGTCTGCAGCAACTTCTTTTTCATCTTCCCAGTTGAATATGCATTTCCTCCTCCCCTGACTTGGGAAGGCGCCCTGCCCATGATAGTCTCCTCCCTCTGGTCCTCTTTGTGTGCCAGCTCCTGCACACCTTCTAGGTCAGAGAGCTCTGGCCCCCAGATCTGGGTAGGTGTTCCTCAGCGTACCTGTACTGATCTTGCCGTATGGAAGCTGTTCTTTCTTTCTCCCAAGCAGACCGGAAGCTCTCCAGAGGCAGGGACAGGTCTGGCTAGTTTATGGCTGTGTTCCAGGATTGAAGGCCCAGAGCCTGGTGTAGGGTGCCCACGTGGTTGGCACCCAGATTCTGTTGAATGAGTGGATGAATGACACACTGCTAATGCTTGAACACTAAGATTATGCTATCTAAAACTTCTAAAACTTCAGCTTTACCTTTTACTCGTAAACATGTTGACATTTACTGCTCATCATAATTTTGTACATTATTTTTCCGGAATATTTGGAGTAGAATTTGAATTTGAGATTTCTTTGAGGGCAAGCTGAAGATAAGCCAAAGCTGTGAATTTTAATGCTGTGGTATGAATCCCTTTTCAGGTTGAAAAAACTGTCTCGTGTTATTTGATATTTTTGCTACAGAATCGATGATGAAATAGATGATACAGAAGTTGAAGAAACACAAGAAGAGAAAATAAAATGGGAAGTAAAACTGGAGAGTGAGCATATTCCCAAAAAAGTAAGATGAAGTTGGAATATCGAATAGATAGGAATGGATGTGAGAAATTTATTAGGGATCCTATTTGTCCCAATTTAGTTAGCATTTTAGACCCAGTTACTTACATCAAAGAACTCTGGTTCCATTTAAAAAAAAATTATTTAAGAACTTTATTGTCATTTAACATAAACAGTTTTTAATGCATTGCTTTTATTTTGGTATTCCCTGTTTCTGAAATGGGTTGTAAACTGTTTCAAAAACTTTTTCAAATTAGATCAAAATTTTAAGAGTATTGATGTGCTAACTTAACTAACTTTACTGATTTAGAGCTTAAAGCTTGCGTTACTTTGCTAGGATTGCTGGGACAAAGTACCACAACCTGGCTGACTTAAACAACAGAAGTTTACTCTCTCACAGTCCTGGAGGCTATAGGTGTGAGGTCAAGGTGTCCATAGGGTGGGTGGGTTCCTTCTGAGGCTGAGAGAGGTTCTGCTACATGCTCTCCCGCACCTCTTGGGCATTTGCCAGCATCTTTGGTGATCCTTGGCTTGGCTTCTAGAAGCATCACCTTGATCTTTATCTTCATACATAAGTCTGTGTCTAAATTTCCTCGTTTTATAAGGATGCCAGTCATGTTGAATTAGAGCTTATCCTAACACATGCCATGTCCTTGCAAATTGAGTCAATTCTAAAGCATTGAGGTTAGGACTTCAGCGTAGGAATTTTGGGAGGGCACAGCCACCCCATAACAAAGCCAATATCTACTCCTCTGTGTCTCTTTTTCTCTTTTAAAAAATATACATGAATTTTGACCCACTACTAAAAAATGGGTTTGAATTGGCAATGAACTCACAGACACAAATAGGCTTTAATATGTTATGCATAAGGTTTAAATTGTGTACCGTTCTGAGTAGTGTGATGCGATCTCACACCATCCCACTCTGTCCAAGATGTGAATCATCGCTTTGTCCACGCTCTCTGCTCGTGGTTCACCTAGTGGCTGTTTTGGTTATCAGATGGATTGTTCAGGTATCGCCGCACCTCTGTTCAAATCACCCTTATTTTACTTAATGGCCCCAAAGCACAAGAGTAGTGATGTTGGCCATTCGGATATGCTACTGAGAAGCCATAAGGTGCTGCCTTTCAGTGAAAGAGTGAGTATAGTACATAAGACGTGAGAGACCACATTCACGTAGTTTTTGTTACAGTGCATTGTTATAATTGTTCAATTGTCTTAGTTATTACTCTTGATCTCTTACCGTGCCTAATTTGTAAATCGAAATTTATCACAGGTAGGTATGCATGGGAAAAAACATAGTCTATGTGGAGTTTGATACCCACAGTTTCAGGCATCCACTGGGGGTCTTGGAACGGGTCCCTGTGGGGTGGGGGGAGCTCTGCATTTACCTAGGGATATTACTGCTGAGTCTTATGTGAGCATCTTCACCTTCCCTGTAAGGCTGAGCTGTGTTCTAGAGGGGTTCTGCTACGTTTTATTTCTGGAGGCAGCATGCAAAGACTGTTTCTGCTGCTCCACACTTGATGTTGTTACCCTTCTTATTTTTTGCCATCTGGTGAGGTATCGCACTGGAGTTTAGTTTGCATTTTCTTGATTACTGTTGAGGTGGAGGATATTTTCACATGTTTGTACATTTGTGTTTCCCTTTTTTTGTGCCTTTTTAAGTCTTTTTGTTCTTTTATATTGGTTTGTGATTTTTTTTTCTTTATTTGTAGTTCTTTATTTGGATATAAAGGAGTTTTCCTTTCATTGTGGATTTTGTGTTGCAAAATTGCTAATTTTTTGGTTTTGTTTCCACTTGATGGCTTTTTTGATAAAAAGTTTATAATTTTAATGTATTCAAATTTATTAATTATTTTCTCTTTACTGTTTTATATGTTTTATTTAAATATTTTGAGATAAAAATATTTTCATGTTACAACATATACTATATACTATGAGGTAGGGAGACAAATTTTGTTTCACCTTTTTTTTTTTGTTATAAGCATTTGTTCTGGTTTCATTTATTGGGGGAAAGGACTGTCTTTTCTCCACAGGTCTGCAGTGTCGCTTTTGTCAAAAATTAAGTATGATGTTCAGATGAATCTGTTTCTGGACTGTTCTCTCCCACTGGCTTGCTTGTCTCCCCTTCCCCAGGGCCTGCCTATGTTGATTACTGCAGCTCTGTAATGAGTTTGGCCTCACACCTTGTTTTTCTTCTTTGTGTCTTGGCTGTTTTTAGTCCTTCGCAGTTCTCTGTAAGTTTTAGATCAGTTTGTCAAGTTCTACAGAAAATCCTGGTGGGATTTTCACTGGGAATGCACTGAATCTATAGAACATTCAGGGGAGAATTGAAATCTTTAGAATATTGAGTTGTCCAGTCTTTAGGTCTTCTTAAATTTCTCACCAGTATGTGATAACTTTCTTGGTGGATGTCTTAACCTTACAAACCCTTTTTGTCAGATTTGTTGGTAGGTGTTTGATTGAGGCTGTTGTCAGTCACGTCTTTTTTTGTTGTTGGTTTCTCATTTGGCTGACATACACTGTTTTGTAGGCGTGAGATTAAACTTTTGAGTTCTTGTTAACATTTCTGGAATATCTTGAATTTATCCTTATAGTTGATATATAGTTTGGCTGAAATAGATTCAAGTGTGAGTCCTTGAGGCCATTGCTCCATTCTGGCCATTGTCTCTTCTGCCAGCCAGTGTTGTAACATGAGACCTTGCTCATCTGATTCTAGTTCTGCACAAGTGTCCTGTTCTTTCTGGAAGCTCTCCTGTTCTTCTGTTTATTTTTCGGTGTTCCGAAAGATTGTGAATCTTTTTTTTATTCAGTGTCTGATGAGACTGTTCACTCCTACCCTTCATGTATGAGGCCTATCTTCTGTTTTATTTTTATTCTCTTTGTCCTTTGTGTTTGAGGAAATTTTCTCTCTTTCTATTTATCTCTATTTCATAAATCAGAGTTTAATTATTCAGAGTTCTTATTTTCTGTTTGGTCAAGTGTTCTGGCATTGCTTTTTGAATATAATACCATCTTGAATCTCTGTGTGTTTATTTTTAATTCTTAAGTTCTTTTCCTTGAATCATATTTGCTTCTTCTAGATCAGCTTTCTCTTTTTCCTGCCTTTTTTGTTTTAGTCTCTCAATCAGGAGTCAGTAGACATTTTCCATAAAGGACAAAACAGCAATATTTTAGGCTTTGTAAGCCACAAAGCACAATTTAAAGATATAACACATATAATGAGAGAGGTATATGTACTGATATAACAAGAGAGAAAACAGATTTCTACAACTTTTTTATTGTCAAGTCAACATATAATAATAATTGAGTTTGTGTGATACAAATTTACTAATGAGAAAAATGAGATTTTTCTGTTTGGGATAATCACTTGTTTAATTGAGTTCGAAGTTAGTGTTCCCGATCAAAATTGGTTGCATAGATTTCTGTTAATGCTGATCTTTGATTTGATTTCATGCATTCTGTCTTTGAAGATGCCTTTTCACTGAAGATGGGTACTTTCAGATACTGTCAGTCTGTCAGCGTGATTTCCATCAGGCACATTCCTTGCTTGGAAGGCATTTGTAGAACTTCATTATACTCTCCGCTTGGGGTTTGTCTTTTAGTGTGTTCTTGCACTGCAGATTAGTCACTTCTAGTGGAAGGCTAGGTGATGACTTCTTAGATGCACACAGCTCCGTGGATTTTGAAATGACATTTTTCTTTGCACTGTGTTCAGATATGAAACACGGCTGGAACTGTGGTTTGAACCTGCTACAAATGTGAGTGGGAATGGGTGTTGTGTCTTATTTTATTTTTGGACAGCTTGTTGTCACTGAGTAGTGTCAACTCATTAGGAACCAAGGAAAACCACTCAATAGCACTTGTTTTATTTCTGTAGTCTGTTGAAGTCTCTCCCGAATTCCTCGCGTCTCTGAGCAGCTGTTCTTGCCAAAAGGCCAGTCTTCTCGAACAGCATTCCTTTTTCTGGCCACTTCAGCTGTGGCGGTCAAACAGGGTTTCAGTAGCACACAGTCAGTCTTCTCTGATGGGCTAACAAATGACCCACTTAGAAGCAAGCTTTGATTACAAATTCATTTTCATTTTTTATTTTTAAAGAAATAATTTCCTGATGAGATAATTTGCTTTAAATTTTCTAACCATTGAGTTGAGATGATTGAGTTGGAATGTTACGATGAATGCTTAATATTGTAATGTTGACAAAAATTAGGTTCTGAAGGGTCATTACATGGCCACCATAATGCTCTGCCATCTAAAAGAACAATAAAGTAATTCACACTACACTGTGCCTTAAGTGCATGGCATTCAGAGGCTACTTTTCATGTTTTGACATGATGGGTATTATGCACTGGTACTGGAAAAATGTCATGTCTTGGCAAAATGCTGTCAAACTGTAACCATCAGTGAAATTTCTAGTGCCCTGAGTACAGTGTAAAGTGAAGAGAGAGCCATATGTGGTCTCCTTTGCACCCGCTCAACTCTGCAGGAATAATACGGAAATGAATGGATGTGGCTGAGTCCTGATAAAACTTCATTCATGGATGCTGAAATTTGAATTTTATATAATTTTCATGTGTTATGTAATGAATGCTATTCTTTTGATGTTTTTTCTCTCAACTCCAAAAAATGTAAAGACCATTCTTAGCTTGCTGACCATTATAAAAACAGGAGGCAGGATGGATTTGATCTTGGGTCATAGTCTGAGGACCCCGGTCTAGATTTTTGTCATGTGCTTTTATGTTTTTCACTGTCTCTTGATTTAAGAAAGGCCTGGAGCGTTGATGGACATCTTTTGCTGCTGTGTTGGTAGGTCTGTGTCCCTGTGGGTTCCCCACCAAATGGGAAGGCCGATTGGGCTTGTGGGTTGGGAGTGGGGGGGCTGGGGGGTGGGCAGGTTTCCAGTAACAGGTAGTTCTTGGCCTTTTTGCTCCCTGCACTCCTTTGGCAGTCTGGCAAAGCCCTCAGGCCCCTTCTCAGAATAACATTTTTAAGTGTATAAAATAAAAATATGCGGGATTACAAAGGAAATTGATTTTACTGAAATATAGTTATCAAAATATTTTTTTAAGTATGCTAGAAGTAATGTGTTTTTGTTAATGCATTGAGCAATAAGCTCAGCAGTGGGTCTAGTTATTGTAGCTTTGACACGGTGATGGACATACAGGAAATTTGAGCTGTCCAACAGCTGTGACTGGATGTATGAGGGTACCGTGATGTCTGTCTGTGACAGCGCACATGCTGCTGAGACTGCTGTGGTTTATAGCCTGTGTTTTAAACAGAACAAGATGCTCAATGATAATTTAGAGGTCGATGAAAATTGTATGTGGTTTTTAATCTCAATTTCATGGCGTTCTATCCGTAGACCCTTGGGGAAGGGGTTCTGGCCTGCAGTGTAAGAACCCCTGCTGTAGGGTGAGTGGGTGCCATGTATTTCTTTGGGGTGCTCCCAAATGCCAGAATGTGGAGGACTTCACTCTAGGATTGATCTCAGGACACACACAAGAAGTCTTGGCTTGTGTCACACATTTTACTCAGTTTTTTTAGAGACCAGCCTCTCTTTTTGCCCAGGGCAAACTTTGTGTTGTGGTTGAGGGGTGGGCAGAAAGAACTTGCTGTAATAGCTTTGTCCATCTTCATGTGGAATTTTAACTCGCCTTCAGTTGTAGCCCCATTTCTATACTCTAGCTTGAGCGCAACCTCCACTTGAAACCTTGCTTTTTGTCAGAAGTTTGCAAAAAACTTGGTGAACTCTTCTTGCTTACTAATGAATGTCCTTTATGGTCCCTTCCCTCCACCCCAACTCCCCCCAACCCCCACTACTCTGGAACTATTAATTCTTACATCTGTGTACTTTTATTTCTGTAGAATGTCAGAAGGCCATACTAGTTCAATATACCATCCTGAATCAAAAGCAGGAAAAGCTCTTACTTAAAATTACTACTTTATTTAGATTCCTTTATAAAAGAAAAAAGTTGTAATATCATGTTCGTATACTTTCTAAGTCATATAAAGAACAGCGAACATCAGAGCAGTGAGTTTATAGCTAGTTGAAGTAAGAAGTCCTTTGCGGTGAGTGTGGTTCAGTGCTCTGTGAGAAGACTTGTGTGAACTAGTAACACTCATCACCTCTAAGGCATAGTAAAGCCGCATAGTTGATGCGTGTCCTGGTTTTATTAGTGCTGTCAGCGCATCTCATCTCTTCCTTTGCTTTACATAGATCAGATACTTTGTCACTTGTAGTGAAGGGGTTGGCCTGGGTGCTGTAGGCCTGCATGTTTTGTGCGGGGGCAGAGTCACTCATCTGGATCGCTGTAATATTTGATTTAGATACATTGAATGGGATCTCATCTCGGCGTAGTTAAGCTAACCTTCATGGGAGCTGCCGCATACTGAATGATTTCTGGCTCTCCTTGTGCCCGCTGAATAAATCGAAGGGCCAGAAGCAGGGTAAGCATGTTCGCTACCTTAAGAGCCACCAGCTTCTCCACACAGGTTGGAGAGGGCATCTTTTTGACTTTGTGAGCCACGTTGTCTCTGTCATAGCCAAGCAGCCTGAAATAACACGAAGGAAGGGGTGGTGTGACCACTTTCCAGCAGAACCTTATTTACAGGAGGCCAGGCCGACGTTTACCAACTCCTGACTGGAGTTCTGTGCACATGCTTGCTGCGTGCTGTCAGTTGGGGAAGGTAAGATGTTCATTGATGCCGGCGCAGCCCAGGAAGCTATCTCGGCATGTTGGGATCCTGCAACAGGTTCGTCCTCTGGGCTTACAGTCCTCCCTCTGGTGGTACAACTCCTAGTTCTACTGTCAACCGTCAGAGGTAAACCACTGAATTGTAGCAGCTCGTGCAGTGTGCAGTAGTGATACTTCTGTTTCTTGCTTGCTTTGTGTTCTCTGCCTTCATTGGTTATGTGAAAGTAGGTGAGAGCCCAGGCCTGGAAGCAGGCTCTGGGGCAGGGCCATCGGTCATTTCAGTGATAGACACGACATTTCTTCTGACATCAAAATTGGAGCCCTGTCACGTGTGGACATTTCTAATACACTTTTTAATTGAAATGTCTCATACATAGTGATGATAATTATATGGCTTGTACGCCTGTGTAACCAATATTAGGAAATTTTTTATACACAAAGTGCTAGTTGTCTGCTTTGATCACCCCAGGCTGCCCAGGGTCAGCTGCCAGCCCTGGCTCTTGCTCTAGTGGGTGTCTATGCCTATAGCTGTTACCTCTGGGGCAGCTCCAACAGTTAGAAGACAGATTCTGAAAGTAAAGTTAACCTGATTACAGGGAACCAGGCAGTTCTTTCTTCCACGTCATCATGGCTGCCACTTCGCCTGCCACGAATGCTGGAAATTATAGGTAAAAAGAGAAAAGGCTTTGGTAGCTGTGATATATCTTAGTGCATTGAGTTTTATGGTGGGCCACTACAGTTTACTAGTATTTATGAAATAATGAGTTATTGAATTAAGTCATTTAAAAGTATAGGCGATGCAAAGGGAGAAGTAAAATGTGAACTATAATACTGTAATTGCTTGATATCACAGAATTAAGACTTGGAGATTTAGTCTTCTAATTCAGTAAAGTTCATACGGCATACAGATTCTGAATCTTCTCTAAAATTATCTTTAAGAATGGCTATGTCATGCTGGTTGTTTTTTTGTTTCTTTGTTTCGTTTTGTTGTTTTAATTCTGGAGAATTCCAGATACGTAAGGCTGGGAAGAATAGCACGTGAACCTGCATGTACCGGTCCTCTACCCTTGGCCACAGTCAGTGCACAGCCAGTCTTTGCTGCTGCTTTGTAATCAGATTGTTTTGAATCACACTAGACTTTAGAAGTTGAAGTTTTTGTTTTTTCTTAGTTTAGGCACTTTGGAAACTCTACGGCATCACCGAAGAGTTTGCTGCGTAGGAAATCACGAAGTAGGGATTACGACGTATACAGCGATAGCGATGTCTGCGGTCGGGAACCAGAAGATAACTTTGCTAAAGAGCTGCAGCAGTATATTCAGGCCAAGGAAATGGCCAAGGCTGCTCAGTCCTTGCCAGTCCCTTTGGAACCCGTGGAGAAGGAGAGAGCGCAGGGCACCCAGAAAGGTAAAGGCTGTCCATGTAGAGGGGGAGTCCTGTGTCCGTGTCCCTGTCCAAAGGGGGCGGTGCTGTCCTACACATTACCTCACTACGAGGCCTTGGGTGTCACAGATCTTCACTCAGGCATGAGCTTGCAGGACCCGGGTCCCTGAGACCCAGCCACATGGTGCGCAGATGCTTGGTTTGCAGGAGGAGCTAGGTGGTCAGGAGGGTTCTCAAAGGCTGTGATACCTTTGAAAGGGAGAATGTGTAACCTCGGGCCCTGCACGTGTGAAGGATGAGCTAAGCTTGTTTGTATTGCTGTCATCTAAAGAGGAATTTACTTAGTGTCTGGGACGGTGGAGTGTCAAACTAAACTCCGACACACATTTTTTTTTACTAAAATGAAGTTTAGCCATAGGCATGAGGACAAATGATGATTGTAATGAAATTAAAGTCTTAATCCTCTCACTTTACTGAGTTTTTTTTTTTTTCCTCTTTAAATGTTTTCTTGTTTAAAATGGATCACAGATAAATTTAATCTGTACGATGTGTTTTCAGTCACCAGTCTGATAGTGGCATCTGTGTTCAGTTTAGCCATCGGCAGCATTCACTGTTAGAGGCTATGGCAGGTTCCGTGAGAGCCAGTGGTCTCTGACCATTTGGGAAGGAGCTGACTTTTCCCCTGACAACACCCTATATATTTTCATAGAGAGTACGTTAGAGTCCAGACCGTATCAGTTCCCTCATTGGTCTCAATCCCAATTCTAGAAAGACAGAACTGTGTCACACCCATTCACTCAAAGAGCAGGAGGACTTCTGGATTTTATAGAATTTGCTTCTTAAGAGTAAACTGCTATTGTATTTTATGCCATCTTTAAAATTGACTTTCTGTTTTTAGCTGGTAAACAAAAAAATAAAAACCTTAAAGCTGCTCGCAAGAATGGTAAACAGAAGAAAATGAAGCGGAAATGGCCTGGTGCTGCAGAGAAGGGCTCAGATACTTATTCGGGGAACAGTGGCTCGCAGGTACGAGGATGTACACGGGGCAGAGAACTCTGACATGCCCTTGGATATTTCTTTCTGACCCTCAGTGACAAGTTACAGAGCGAGGGTTGTCAGTAGTGAAGCTGCCTCCATCTGCTTCCTTGTCACACAGGAGCTGCCGGCACCCACTGTAGAGTTTAGTAAGGTCACATAAAACCAAAGATTTAAACTGACTCATATGATTGAGACATATTTGATGGTACTAAGTAGAAATGTGACATTGTTACGAAGCAGATTGTGTAAATGTGTAGTCAGCTCCCTTCTTTGCATGTACTGTTTTTCTCAAACTACTCAGATTTGGTGTGCAGAAGCTGTAAACTGCATTGTGACTTAACACGCTAAAAGTGGTTTACGCTTCTAAAGAGTCAAGATGCATCATGAAATTCCCCTTTTGTTTTTGTACCTCTGTTGCCATCCTTGAGGGTCTTGTTCCAGTGACATGTGTTACTGTAAGCCGGTTGGTGCGCTCAGCTCACCGAGTACCTCACTGGGATTAAAGAGTACATTGCTTCTGGCTCATCTTTTGGTTTCTAGTTTTGTCCTCACTGTTCTAAAGAGCCTTGTTCTTAGACTTTGCTTCTTATCACAAGTGGTACCACTTTATTTTTTAATTCATTTTTAAAAATAAGGGCAAAGTAGAATAAAATGATCCAGTTGCATAAACAGTGGTGAGATGCTGTTGAAACTGCCCAAATATTCACTTTTCAGTTGGTGTCCAGAAATCCAGGTCTTCCACATAAAGCTGGTCATCTCTTAATGTCATAAAGGTGGTTGAAAATAATTTTGTGCAATGGAATTAAGTACTTAATTTTCTATTCCTCGCATTTCGTTTTTGTTTGCAAAGGGTGGTAAACCTAAAGAGAAGCAGCAGCGCATGAGGTTGAGCCCAGGGTTCATCAGCCAGCACACTGTGGAGCGCAGGGGGAAGCAAGTGTGTAAATACTTCCTCGAAAGGAAATGTATTAAGGTACGAAAAGTGTGGAAGCAAAAATATACAAAAGTGTAAGGTGTCGCAAAAATGTACTAACACTCTATTACACACTCTAAAGGCATCTTTAAAACCGTTTCCTTCTGGGAACGGTTCACTTAGAAAATTTTACTGAAATACTCTTTTATGTTTAAGAAAGTAGATAATTTTTAAAAAGTGGATTGTATTAAGAATGTTTAGAATTTACCAAAATTTTAAGCAGATAAGTGTGAGATGGCTATATGATAAGTCATTAAGAAGTAGACTAAACAGCTTCTGAGACTTTGTTTTTTTCCAAAGTTATTTGCTTGTCTAATGTCTGGTAGGAATTGTAATGGCTTAACTATGAGAAATAGCAGCTTTTCCTTGTTCCTTCTTTTGCCCTAGGGAGACCAGTGTAAATTTGATCATGATGCAGAGATAGAGAAGAAAAAGGAAATGTGTAAGTTTTATGTACAAGGATATTGTACCAGAGGTGAAAACTGTCTATATTTGCATAATATCCTTTACCACAAGATATTGTAACTTTATTTTTCATAAATATTTATAGGACATTTTAAATATGTATAATCTTGAGTGAAACCAGCGTTTTCCTTTGGCAAAATTAGGTTATCCTAGGCTAACTCAGTATTGAAGTGATTGACTTACACAAAAATTTTTTGCCCCCAAGTAAGAAAAGAGGGATTCTTTAAAAATTCTCTCAGATGAAGTATAGCACTTGATGAGCCCTGTTTAAATCCCAGAAAGACTATGTCAGTTTCTGTTGTGATATTCATTCACTGAATCTTTGTCCATATATGCTCCTTCATCAAAATAGGCAGGGACTACATAATTTGGGGTTGCCTGTTTTCTGAATGTTCTGTCCTCTATGTAGGTTAGCTGTCCCTTAACTTGAAGAGTGACGCTCACTTCAGAGCGCACGGTACCAACGTGCTGCAAATCCTGGGCCCTGGGCATCAGGGCTGCAGTGCCTTCGGTCACTGCGGAAGAATGTGGTTTCCTTCAGCCCTTCAGCATAGGGATCTCAGATTCTTACTGGAGGACCTTTACCTAGAACATGATGTTGACATCATGTAAACTGATCTTGCTACACAAAGGGTCCAGGTTTCTAAGACATGTCATTGTCATTGAGTTTAATTTCTCCACTCCACAAGATTATTTTTAAAATAATCACATTTCTTGAGGTATTTAAAATACACATCTCTTTCTTCTGTCAGTGGAACATATCTGTAGTCTATTATAAGGATGGGTCCAAAGGCAAAATGTACCCAATGATAGCCGTAAATTTGACTTATTTAATCATCCTAAAATTAGATTTTTTTCAAGCAACCCAATTAATTTACTGTTTAAAATTTTAGATGGGGAATTTAACATTTTTTCTAGTTGGAAAGGCCTTTAGGTGGGAAAAACAAAGTCATTAAATTAATAAGTTATCTTAGTTGGATTAAATTGTTCTCTTCCTTAACATTTGGGGGTACATGAATACCCTTGCAAGTTTTACCACACAGGAACAAAGTGTTATCAGGGACAGCACTGCAAGTTTTCACATGACCCTCTGACTGCTGAAACGCAAGAACTGTTAGCCAGAGTAAGTATAACCTGAGTGAGCCTTTGTTTTTCATTTTTAAAGAGTATGTTTGAAAAGATACTGTCTCTAGAATGCCTCCTAGGTTAGTGTATGACATGTGTTAGGGCTGTGGGTCAGAATGCCGTCATTCATTTGACTAGTTCCCCTTGTAGCGTAAGGGAGATTGCACTCATTGCTGACAGCGACCGAGTGTCTTTAAAAGCTTTAGTGTAGCTAGAAATGTTAAGAGCTGAGCTCAACAAAGTGAAACGAACAAATGGGAGAACTAGCACTCTCGTTAGGTCCTGAGATGGAAAGTTAAGGATTATTGACTGGTAGACATTTTGGAGTTACATCACAGAATACTCCAAGTACTATTTCAAAGTGTTGTTCAACTATTCTTTCAGTCTCTGAGAAAATCTAATTGCAAAATAAGTCCTTTATAGTCTGTCGTTTCTCATTTGTTATTTGGAGCAAGTCTCTTCAAAATTAACTGATTTCCCATTTAGAAAAAAAGTGTAGTTCACTGCCAGCATTAATTAATTTTACATCAACATGCTCTTTGAGGAAGAAGCAAATTGACTGGTTTTCAATGTGAAAATAAAATATAAAAACTGTTCTTAGAGTTATTTCTAAACAACTTGGTTCTAATCCTAATATAACAGAACTGTACACATAAATTGGATTCATCAAATGAATCTTAAGCTAATAGCTAGCTATTTGAGTGTGATGTTAACCTCACGCATAGTAATGTTATGTTTTCTAGGATTTGACATATTCAGTGATCGAGAATTACTATATTTTGTAAATGGAAATACCACTACAAAAAACAATGCTGTAAATAGAATGATGTCTTTTATTTCCAAAGATTATCGATAGGTTAGATTGATGCAAAGATAATAATAAGAGATACTTCATGGCAAACTTTGAGAGTGAGGTTAGGTCTGTAATCCACGAGCTATCTCTAGTTAAACACGGTAGCCGCAAGCGCTGCCAGCAAGTATTCTCAGGGGCAAACAGGAAATGGGTTAAATTGAAATATAAAATGAAAATAAAAGATTCTTTTAAAACCAAACCATACCATCTTGTGGCAGGAGTTTTTTTGAGCACATGCAAAGGTCAAAAAGTCAAAAGTGCTTATTTATAGATACTTTTAGGTTGTAAAATATGAAGGGTTACTCTGGAATTAGAAGTCATACCAAATATTTGGTTGTTTATTAATATGAAGGGTATATGGAGAAAATGGCATGTAGAATTGTTTTTCAGCCCCTCTTACAGCCAGTGTTTTTTGGCAATCACCAGAATGAGAGCTGTGGGATCATAGGAAAATTATGAGTGTGATGTGGTACCCGAATTAGACATTAATACATAAAAATCACTATGTGACCTTTTTTTCATATTAGGTTTTGGATACTGAAAAGAAGTCATCATGAAAATAAAATACCCAAAAAAGGTAAAGTTAGAATTTAGCACATTGCTTTTTTTTTCAGAAACATCTCTAGAAATTGGCATGGAAACATAGAAGTCATTTTCTCCTCCCACACACAAAGAATTATGAAATATTTGATACATATGCATAGATAGATATTGTGAGTCTCTGTGGTCTTGCTTCCTCCTCAGGGATTGTCACCATCTTCTATATTTTTAATTTCCTCTCTTGTTCCTTTGTAAATTTACTGAAGGTGCATGATTCACTAAACAATATGTTTTGTTTTGCTTGTGTTTTAAGTAGTATCATACTCTGTATTAAGTGGTGACTTGCTATTTTCACTCAGCATTATTCTAAAATTCATCCATGTAGTTGTGTACAGCTGTCTTTCACTCATTTTTACGCCTACATAGTATTTCAGTCTGTGTGTCGCAGTTTACTTAGTTATTCTGCTGTTGATGGACACTTAGATTGTTTTTGGTTTTTAACACAGACTGTGAGTCGGTAACCGTGTGCACATCTGTGGTGCGTCTCCTGGGACACAGCCCCCACTGCTGTGGCATTGGCACTGCACTCCCGCCAGCCATGTGGGACTCCTGCTGCCCTGCACTTGCCAGCACTCTATTATCAAGACTTTAATTTTTTAAACAGTTTAGTGGGCTTAAAAATGGTGTCTCATAGCTTTATTTTCATGGAGTTAGTGTCTTCTTGCGCTCACTAGCTTTGAGTTTCATCTGTGGTGAAATGCCCTTTAATTTCTTTTGCCTATGTTTCTGTTGGGCTGATTGTCCTGCTCAGATCTGGTTTTCATATTACTGCTATAATCCTTTGTGAGGTGCATGTGGCCGGTCCCACATTCTGCGGGCTGTCCCTTCACTTGTTTCGAGGTGTCTCAATGAACAGAATTACTTATTTTGGCAATCTTTTTCTTTATGTAGGTTTTGTATTTTATTGAAGAAATCTTTCTCTGTCATGAGACTGTAAAGTACTTTAATATTTTTTTAAATTTTTATATTTTACATTTGTATTTCAATCCTTTAGAAATTGTATCAATTAGCAGGCACCGCAGTGTTCCTGCTTAACAAGCAGAAGGCCCTCTGTAGCACGTGAAGAAAGACATGTCTTTTTTGTGCGTCTACAGACTGGCAGGGCCAGCTGCCTGCCCGGGACCAGTGGGCCAGAGGCTGTGTCTTCTCCTGGTGGAAGCTCAGGACGGTGGCCCCGTTTGCATCACATTGGCTTAGAGCCTGTCACCATAGTTAGTCATACGGCTAAGCCCAAAGTCAAGGAGTAGGAAGTACACTCTACTTCTTGTACTTTCCGTGTAGAAGGAACTGATAGATTACATGAGAAAGAGCGTGTCTGGGGCTAGAGGGAGTAAAGAAGACTGAACTAACGGTGCTTCTCTTAATGGTGGGGCTGGGTAGTAGTAGTCTGCTGTATGGCTGAACCACATTTTGCTTACTCGTTCATCGGTCGGCAGTCACTTAGGTTGCTTCTGTGTCTTGACGGCTGTGAATAATGCCTTCTTGGACACGGGTGTGCAGACATCTGAGTTAGTTGCCTCTTCATGAATATTCTCTTTTACTTGAAAGGACAACTGAGGGGCCTGTTGGTTTCTTCAGATGTGGAGATTTGGCGGGCACTATTCCACAAATGAATGGAGTGACCCTGTCACTTCAAGGAAGACAACTAAAAATGTATATTTTCAATGATAAAATTCTGGCTTTCGAGCAAAAATGACAATTCTGGAGCATTTTATCTGTCTCTATGAGCTTGAAAGCTTTCTTTAAGATTTTTTTGGTGGGGTTGGTGCTATTAAAGAATGTGATTTTTAAACACTGTGAATGAAACATTTGCAAGATCTGCTAATATTAGGAAATTAGTAAGCTAGTGTTTTCCAAATAAACAATGCATGTTGTTAACAGAATTAGGCACGGGCGAAACACTCATGCAGCCTGCCGTCTAGACTAGTGAGTTTTCATGTAACCTTGCAGAAAGTTTCTTGATGGTTTGAGATTCTACATTGCAACTGGAAACTTGTTTACACTTGCTTTTAACATTCATTTGTCCATCACTTTATTTTTAGCTTTTCTGAGTAAGTTCTAGGTTTGTTTCTTATATGGAGCCAAACCAAAAATTCTTTTCCTCTTTTGATAAGTGAATTAATCTGTTCACATCTCTTGAAATGACTGCATGTTTCCTTTAGCGTTTGTGATTTTGTTATAGTTACTGTGTATATTAGTTACTGTATGTGTTGCAGTTGCTATTTGTGTTGTATCACATTAGCATGTTTTCTCTCTCTATGGTATGTCTTTTTCTTTAATAAATTTTAATTTTTTCATCTTGTTTTTTTTCTACTTTTGTCCAATAACCCTTATCAAGTTTCCATTCAAACATGTTCTTGTAATAATAGTCTTTATTTTTTTCTGTTTTTTTCTTGTATTATTTTTGAGGTTAGTCAACTCTTGTTTCGTTACTTCCACTTTTTTGATCAGTTCTTTTTTGAATTTCAATTTGAGTTGATTTTTCATATTCCTCAAACAGGGATATTTAATTCAGTTTGGATTTTGTGTTAGTTTTCTTGTGCTGCATGTTTTTTGGGGGCAGGAAGTGGGTGGCTTTGTTGCTAATTTTCACCAGCTGATGTGTTTTTGTTTTATTTTCTTCTGTAGCTTTGTATAGACGAAGAGTGCTTGTGTCTGTGCCTGTTCGGGACTGTTCAAGACTGGTGATATGGACTGGTTTACCAGATTTCTCATTTAAAGCACCTTCTTGTGTCATTACGATCACATGCAGCTTTTTTAATGGATGGTGTGGAATGACAAAGTCTGGTGTATAAGTGAAGGAGCTGGTCTCCACCGAGCTGTTCCAGCCACTGCTGGGACGGGAGAGGAAAGAGATGGCGGAGCTGCCGACGGGGTCAGTGTGAGGGTGGGAAAGGGCAGCAGTATCTTCTGACACATTGTGTTTTCTCAGTGAGATAGGCAGCAAGGTTATGCCGAGTGAGGGTGGGTGATGCGCAGAAGTGTGCAGCAAGGGCCATTCCTGTCACTGCGCAGTTGCACTGCTCTGGTGATGGCTACTCCCATTTCTGTCTGTGGCCTGAATTATGGTTCTGCCATTTTTTACCCAGTTTCCCGTTGTTGGACATTTGTTTTCAGTTTCTCACTATTAGAAATAAAGTGGAACAGTGTCTCTTACTCTACCATTCCTAAACTTGGAATCTTAACATTTTTGTTGTTAAGCTATAAGGATGGTTGTCTTTCTCATTGGTTAGTGAACCATAATCAGATTACACACTTGTGTAAATGTAAATTTGAGTGCGATGACGTCTGTAACATAATATTTGAATATAAAATTTTCCAAGCACAAATAATAAGATGAAAAACATGCAATTTTATATAGTGGTACTGATCATTACTAGAAAAATGCTGTGAAACTGAAACTATCTTCATCATATTGTTTTATTGCTGGGAAAAATAATAGCATCCCTAACTTGCCATATGTGTGGAGTGCATCAAAGTTGGTGACACTTGTTAGCAAAGCCCTATTTGAAAACATGAGCCAAAGGTTTTGGTTGTACCTCAATCCCACTAAAGCCAGAGAGGGACTGGCACGCGCTTTAAGAAGCGTACTGGACAAGAGCTGGGATGATAAGGAAGTGGCAGGGGCCTGGGCCCTGGTGTTGGGGTCTGAACTGAGTGAGTCGGCCTCTGTGCCAGTGGCTGGTGGCGGGGGCTAGTTTCCTCTGGCCGTGGCTCAGGCGGAGGGTAAGAGAACATACCAGAAGCTGCCAGAAGAAGTCACAGAGGAGAGAAACTGAGGTGTTCATGCCACACTTTCCATAGTTTAATGACATCGTACAAGGGAGTGGTTGTATCACCCAAAGAAGCAACACTTTGCGTCTGAGAGGAGGTCGGACTCCTGCTGTAGCTCTCAGCTGTAGGAGGGGGCGTTGAGGCAGAGCCATTGTGTGTGCTGCATGCTGGGTAGGTGCTCCACCACCTGCTTCCTGCTGCTTAACGTTCCCTGTTACACCTTGTGACCTTGTCACCCTATGAGGCGGGGCATGGGATCCATTGCATGGAAAAGGGAATATAAATAGGAACAGTTACATTATATTTTTTCTATTTTCATGAGCCTTGAAAATAGTCATATTTAATTATATATGACAATTTAACAAGTATGTAAAGTTTACATATAGAAAAACAGTTCTTACACCCTAAGGGGCAGTACTCATGTCATCTGTAGACTTAAAAGACAAAGCAGAGGTTTAAGGGACTGAAAAATAGGAAATGTTAAGAAAGCTCAGATTTTACAGCTATTAGTTAAACAGGCAGATGTGTGTCTGTGAAATCTCTGACCTTGCATTGAGTTGAAAGGGAGAGACTGTCCCAGGTATGCCGCAGGCACCAAGGTGGCCGTTAGTCGTGGGCCCAGACTCCCAGCCACTCGCCTCCAGTTCCGCTTTCTCCAGCCCAGTTCACCCACCTTCCTCACAGCCTGTCTCCAGCGCGCCCTATCGTTGCTGGAGGTCAGCCCACTAGGCCTCCTCCTCATGGCCCTCTGCCCCTCTGCTGCTCTGCATCTCCTGTGAAGTCACCTGCAAGAAGGACGACGAGATCATGTCCCCCTGTTGTGGGGAGAAAGGTGGGATGTGGAGCCTCTCCTGCTCATAACTTTGTCAGTAGCCCTCAGTGGAAATCATTGAGCAGGTTGGACAGAATCTCATTTTTGAGACTGTGTGACAGGTGTCAGATCTTTATGTATGGTCAGTTACAAAAAACCACGTGACAGTAAAACTCCGTTTTGTCTGTTGGTAAGCTGGTGTAAGCCAGGTATGTAGTCCTGAGGTGCACACTGACTTGTCCCATCTTCATAGCTTCCCTGGTGTCAAGCAGTCTCAGCTCCCTGACTGCTTTCTGATGAGTGTAACTGGGGGATGACAGTCATGGGTTTCTTCTCAGGTTGCTGGGGGAGGTCAGCATACCATGTGACTTGGTGACCTGGCCTAAACAGTGGGGTTTACTGCTCGTCAGAAGCAGCAGCACCACGTGGGAGGTCAGGTTGAGCATCTACTGAACGCCAGAGCCGTGCATGGGAGATGCCAGCCCCTACCCTTCCCCCTTCTGGGATCCTGATGGTGAGACCGTTGTCACTATGATCTGCAGGTGAAACCCCATCTGGGAAGAGGTCTCCTAGCTCCTCAGTCATGCACCATCACAGGCCTGCCCCCTCCCTGCAGTTCGGTTCTGAGAGGGGTCCTCTCTGCTGTGGCACTTGCCGCCTGTGGTAGTCCCTGGCCCCAGCCCTTAGGGTGTATGACAAGGGTCTAAAGTGGTCCTCGACCTTGGCTTCACGCTGGGATCACTTAGGAAGCTTTTTAAAATAAGCACGGATGGACTGATGCCCAGAAATTCTGACGTGGGTTGTGGGTGCTAGGGTGCAGACATGGGATTTTCAGTAGCTTACAGGTGGTTCCACAGCACAGCCAAGGTCGAAAACCAATGGTTTCAACAAATACTAGAAGTGCAATGCTTCTTGCCAGCAATTGGCTCAGGCTTGAAATAGGACTACATGTCCCCTCATATGCATCTGACCCATGGATAGAGGCTGGACGCGGCCGTGTCAGTATGACACCCGGAACGGATGCATCTGTCTATGACTTTGAGGGGAGCTAGAAAGCAGTTGAAAGTGACAGAGAAAGTTGGGAAGAAGCTGGGTCCTTGATAGTCGTGCTGTGGACATCACTATCCTTAGGGAGGAGATGGTGGCCTTCGGATTGATGTCCTATCACGTACATAGTGACGTATTTCTCTCACTGTTGAAGCCATCCTGATTTGATTTCTCTGTTACCTACAAAGGCGAGCAGGCCAGTGAGTGTGGGCCAAGAAGCAGGCCTCCCTCCGTTTGTCCAGAGTCTGCGTTTGTGTGCCTTATCCCTCCCAGTACGTGCTTTTGCTGTCTGGGCTCCTGCAGATAATACACTGCAGGGAAGTGGTGTGAGGGAGAAACTGGCTATGGAGCGGAGCTGCAAGGACTGGCTGGCTCTGGGGGGTGGGGGAGTGTACTTGGTGGGTGGGAAGGAGTAAGGTAAGCTGCCAGGCCTGGAACTGCAGCTGCTCCCTGTTAAATTTGCAGTGCTCCTTTATGTGGCTTATAAATGGAGAAGTAGCGTATTTTTGGTTATCATCCATTCATCTTGGGACACATCTCTGAAACTGGAATGTCTTTTATAGTTAATAGACTATCATTTTAATTGGCAGGTTATTTTTACTGGTGCATAAAAGGTAGTGGATCTTATTAAGTTAGGTGGATTTAGACTTGAATGTAATTTTAAGCTGAAAGCACATATGTACATAGCCAAGTTTACTGTGAAATAAAATTTGTTAAGAGTTTATTTTGGATTAATAAGTTATAAAAATGGGTTTTTATGAAAAGGAGTGGCCCCTGTCCCTATCCCCTGCCCTGTCAGTGGTAGGTTCCCCAACTCGCGCTCTAGGGCCCACCCCATAACCCTGCACAGGCTCCTGGGACTGACCCCAGTTGACCATGAAGCAACTTCTCTGACACCAGTCAAGGTCACAGCCAATGTTCGCGCTCCTCAGAGGGAGGGGGCCTCAGCTGGGCCTCAGCTAATATGGCCCCTACGGGATACCAGCCCTTCTGGGGTCACAGATGAGAAGCAGCAGGGCGGCTCTCCCAGTCTTGGGGACTCAAGTTACCATGTTGAGGGCCATGGGGACCTGTTTCTGCCACGAATGCCTGAGTCCTGCCAATGGTGTGAACAGCCACATGAGATTCTAGGCCCCTGCTGCACTTGGTCCGTTTCTCTAAGGAGCTGAGATTCTTGTAGCTGAGAGTGACACATGTAGCCTAGGTTGCAGGCTGTGTGCTCGCTGCTGCCTGGTCTGGTCGATGGCAGTACCAGAGACCACCGCTTCTTCAAATGACAGTTTAGGGCATTTGAGGGACTGCCAGTCCGCTGTGCACACAGGGTCCCAGGTGCAGGCTGCCTCAGTTGTCACTGTGGGCTGGTGAGGGGTGGTAGAGAAGCCCAGGTGCTGCCAGATGCAGCTGATTTTCTCAAGTGGCCTCTCTCGACTTACTTTCCAGGGTTCTGAAAAAATGGCTTTAGCCCGAGTCTGCCTGAGCCCTCACGCCTTCCATGAAGTCGCGGGTTGGCCAAGACCCTCAGTGGCCGGTCCAGAAGTGGGACCCAGCTTGCGCTCTGGTGCATTTTGATGTCTTGACGCCCACTTTGTTCTGTTTGTACCTGCACCGCAGAAGGACCTGTCGGTGACAGTGACAGTGCGAGGACCGTGTGCTCTCATCCTTTTCTCCAGAGCCTCCTTGCTGGGCTGTCTAGGGTCCCCTCTTCCTCAGTATTTGGGACCTTCCCTCCGGCTCCCATTTAAACTGCCTTTTTAAGGAGTTCCACAGAAGGGGCCTGCCAGCATTCACATAAGTCTCAGGTGAGTCCAAGGTTTCTATCTCCTCTGAGTCCTATAGGACATTCCATGCTAACCTGTCCAGATGTGTGACATGGGGGCGATCCCACCACATGACGACATAAAGGGACTCTTAGTCTGAGACTTCCTGAGCACATGTGTGGCTCAGCCCCACCCACTGACAGGCCAGCTCCTTTCAGCTTTCCATGTGCCTGCGGGCGACGCGCCAACCCAAACTTCCCAGTACCAAACCCTGTTAGGTAAACCCGTAGTCAACACAAGAGCCCCTTATTTCAGCCAAATGCACATAAGACGGCTATTTCAGTCCTTGAAGAAGGGAAACCTGGTCCTACTGAATTCCCAGTTGTCTCAGGCTGAATGCTGGTCCTTGTGCGGTTGTGAGGGATCCTGTGTCCTCCTGGGCTGGGGAGGCCACGTGAGCCGCTCCCGCCTGGGGCCCCTGCTGCCCAGCTGCCAGGGTTTCTACAGGCTGTGTTCTTCGGGACACACCCTATAGCCAGGTCTGTACCAGGAAAAGGAATGAGGGAAGAGATGACTTTGACTTATTTTTTTTTTTTGACCTTGATGTTTTAAATAGGATATGCAGTCCGTGCATCTGGGGACTGAAAGGCAAGACAGAGAGGGGGGCCTGTAACAAGTGGGGCAACGTGGGAGATACTCGGCCAGGAAGACCATGTGGGTGACATCTCAACAAGAACACCCTTGCTATCAAAAAGCTGCGGTGTGGGGAGCTATAGGCAGGGCCCATGTATGAGTGGCAGGGCTGCTGTCCAGACCCCACAGGCCAGGCCACAAGATTGGGAAATGGGGGTCCAGGGCTGTTCTCCCATTTCCCCCTCATCTGTAGCCTCCCCTCATGTCCTCTGCTGTCAGGGCAGCTGCCGTGCTCGTCAGGCAAGGCGCCCTGTCCCTACTTCTGGGCTCAGCATCCCTTATGTCCTCTTCCCAGAGATGGCCTGGGGGCAGCACAGGGGCCTCCAGTGTTACTGTCTTGTTCAAGGCTGCACCCCCATGGGGGTCAGGCACACGCAAGGCCCTCACTCCATACTCCCTGAGTCACAAAATATAACATCAAAGGGCCACTGCTGCACCCATGGCCCTGGGGTGAGATGGGGAAAGGGGTGAGGTGGTGCAGGTCAAAGCTGGAAGCAGCACAGTGTGGGGTGAGGGGTCCTCAAGTGATCCAGGAAGTCCCCAGAGCAGGTGGACACGAAGGAGGGCTCATGGGGAGAGAGAGATGGGGAGAGAGCAAGCACAGGTGGTGGATTCCCTGTATTTAAGCCAGGCACACTCACCTCCCTCTGTTTGACAGTCACACTTCCCTCTGTGATAGTTGTGCACATGTGTGACGTGCCCTCGAAGGCTTTGTACAGTTCTGACAAGGTCTCATTTCCAAGCTGGTTCCAGTCACCCAGTGCACACCTCACAGTGACTGCCACACCAGTGAGTCCAGGGCGCACGAGAGGCCACTGGTTGCTGAAGTTGAGATTGAGGCCCATCTGTCGGTCACTCAGACTCTCCCTTAGAGGCAGCAGAGTTGGGTTTATCACTGGCTCCAGCAAGAGAAAGATGGCATTTCTAGGGATTGGGGGACAGGAAGGTGTTATGGGAAAATGATTACACAGCTTGTGAGTCCAGGGAATTCGTGGGGTGGTCCCGGCAGGGGTGGGTTGGGTGGGACAGCGGGGAGCTGCTGGCAGTCAGTAGTCTTGTCTTCCCGATGGGGCTGGTGGCAGCAGGTTATGCTGTGACATTTCTGACCTTCGTGCTCTGAATGGTGAAGTCTGCGTGTCGTGTGGGCCCTAAGGCAGCCCCCCTTTTCTGAAAAGTCATGTTAGGAAGGTGAGGGAAGGAGTGCTTGGAAGTGAGAACTAGACTCTGCAGACCTTGCATGGACAGTGGTTCTCATTCTGTTCCCTGTCCCCTGGGCTAACCCTTCCTTATCCCTGGACTCAGTGCGTCTCTTTATGAAACATGCCGACTAAGTCTTTGTTTCAGCTTCCACTGCAGAAATAAGTAGAATTATGCCATTACCGGTTATAAAATTAGCACCTTTTTCAATGAAGAAGAAAGGCCACCATGCTTGAACACTGGCCTCCTGATGTCCCCAGTGTGGCCCTATAGTCATGGTAAAATGGCCGTCTTTCTGACTAATTCAGCAGCGGTCACAAGAACACACTGAGCCAGGCTTATTGGCAGAGAGGACAGCTGCCCTGGAGAGTGGGTTTTGAAGAGTGTGCCTGGTTGTGGGTGGCTGTCCATGTTCCCTGGGGTGGAAGTGACTGGCACTCAGCAGACGTGGAGGGCAGAAAAGCGTACTCGGTGTATCTGTCCCGCAGATCAGGTGCCTAAAAACAACCAGCTGATCGTCTTGCAGTGTGGAGGCCAGGAGTCTGAGGTTAACATGTCACAGGGCCATCTTCCCTCGGGAAGCTCCAGGAGATGGTCCTTCCTGCCTCTGGCACTTAATGCAGGTTCCTGGCTATTCCCAGCATTTCCTGCTGTGACAGCATCACTCCATTCTCTGCTTCCGTCTCCTCTCCCTGTGTGTGCGTCTGTGTCACTGTTTTCTTATAAGGACACCGATCATTGAATTAAGGCCTACCCTAATCTAGTATGTTTCCTGGGTTTTTTTCCTAGTGATTTTATTATGGAACTACTCATGTGCTGGGCACCTGTTACGTAGATGTTATTCCAGCCATGGGGACATAGCAACAAATAAGCAAAAGAGATAGAAGTCCCTGTACTCAAGAGATTTATATTCTTGGAGCCCAGACAATAACCTAAATTACAGCAGACCTGCAAGTTGCGGAGTTTTGTTCTCATGTTGAGGAGATGTGCCAGGAACTTGACCCCAGTGTGTATCATTCAGCCTGTGGCAAGGCTGGTCTCATTAAACGCTGCGTTACTTCAGGTCACAGAGCCCAGGACCATGGCAGTGGGTGACTGCGCTTGGCCCTGGGAGCCTTACACCCCTTCTTAGGAGGACCAGCCCACAGTGCCTGGCCACGAGAGGACAGGAGTGCCAGCTCACCAGGGCCTGGTGGGGATGGGGGGCACAATGGGGAAGATTTGGCCAGATTCATCGCTGCCACAAATACCGTCTATTTTGTTGTCTGTCACTTTGTCCATGGTCTCCACAAGCAATCTTGTCATCAGGATCCCTTGCACTTGTCTTCCCCATACTCCCTTCCCCGCCTGTCTACAGGCTCTGCCCTTAGCAGACTAAACGTGAGCCACCTTGTTCGTCGCAGTGACACGTGGCCCCTCTTCACACATTCTTGTTGGTCTTGTGCAGGGAGGGTCTTCAGCCATCAGCCCACTGATGGATACAGGCGCCCCTGGGCAGGCAGCTGCTGGGCCAGCTCTAGGCCACGTGCAAACAAGATGGCTGGGCTTCTTGCAGGGGACTGGGATGCTCTGGGCTACAGATGAGCCCCACCTTAGACCCACTCACCATAACCACGCCATTGTATAGAAAGAGAAGGCTAGAGGACAGCCCCCGGGGATGCCGTGATGGATGCCCTAGTCTGGGTTTCTGACACTCGCTGGCCCATGATGACGCTGTGGTTGCCTTGGAGCCTGCAGGGTGGGGATGGGCTCACTGGTCTGTGTCCATTTCTCCTGCCTTAGTCCACCAACAGAATTACCCTAAGTGACTTCTGAGGCTGGGTCACAAAGGCCATGCACACAGCTTCTGCTTGGTTTTCTGGACACAGAACAGTGACCTTGTGCCACTATGTCTGACCACTCTGAAGCCACCATTCTCTGGACAAGCTAAGCCACATGAGTGACCAAGGAGAACTGTCTGCTTGTCAGTGCCATCTGTGGGGACCCCATGTAGGCTGGACATGTGAGTGCGTGAATGACCCATCAGGTATCCTGGCAGGCGTGTTCCCAGCAGAGGGAGTGTGGATGTGGGGCTAGTGTGAATCCCTCCCCATGCTCCACCCAAACCCTGACCCTGAGAACCCGTGAGCATGGTAAGATCATTGTTTGAAGCTGCTGAGTTGGGGGTATTTTCTAACAGCAGTAATAGCCAGGACAGAAAATTAGGCTGTCCCTACAGGTCCCCATGCTCCTCTGTCCCCTCTCTTTGCAAGTCAGCATCTCTTTTTGCTCTGCGAACAGACACTTTTCCTCTACACATGGGCCCAGTGCAGTTGCCCAGGCCTCACTTACCAGATAGTACTGCATTCACACACATGACATTCTGAGTCACAATTCCAAAAGCTGAGAGCTGGGGCCCACCTGTCACCACACACAATGGCAGTGTATATCGTCTGGGCCACATAGGTGGTGGACCTGCAGACATTCGCCACGTACTGGCCATCCTCTTTTGCTGCTGCTTTTCTCATAGACACAGCCCTCCTTGAAATCACACACTTTCCTTGTTTACATGTGTTACCACTTTGCCTGCTGAAATGTAAGTTCCAGGAGGCCAGAGTCCCTGTCAGCTCTGTCACCACTGGATCTTAAGCAGCTAAACAATCCCCTGGAATGCAGGGGACATTTCAGAACTTTTACACAGCTTATAAACACCTACAGACTTACGTAGGGACCAGGTGAAAGTCACATAAGTCGGCCTCTTAGCTCTGCAGTACAAGCTGAGGGCTGAGATTGGGGGCTGGTAGCAGAGGCTTATGAACAGACTTGTTTTGTCTGCCACCACGCCCCTAACAGCCACTCAGACCCCGCCCCCGTGCCCCCCCCCCATCAAGCTTGCTATGACAAGTGGTAGCTTGTTTCCAGCTTATTTTCCTTTGTGAGTGTTGGAGGCGTTGCATGTTGAGAATAAGATGAGTTTTAAGAGTTACCTGGAAACCTAGCTAACCTTTCATCGTTCAGGAGCCAGTGAGCCATTTGGGTTGCATCATCTCTTACTGATGGCTGTTGCGGGCTCCTCCTAAGTCCAGGATGGGCAGTGGGCTGGCTGTGGAACAGTCCTCCCAAGGGAGGGTCTGGTAAGTTTGGTGATGTCAACAGCCATGGACACCCGGGCCTACTTTATTCAGGAATGTGACTCACACGTTGTTTGTTATTGGGCAGAAACTAGTAGACTCCTCCTGGAGGAAAAACTGACCCCAGAGACTCAAAGGCAAAAACAGGAAAATACAGATGCATATTGCTGCGATGTTTTTAATAGCAAAAGCTTAGAAACAACCCAAATGTCAGTCAAGGGTGACTGGTCGGATAAAAAATTGTATGTCCTTATAACAGCATTTTATAGAACATCTGATCGTTCTATGGAGCGATGTCCAGTATATTGTTGAGGGAAAAAAAAAAGCAAGATCAAGGAAAATGTGAAACAGTATGCCATTTATCATTCGCTTAACATATTTTTTTAAATGGAAGGGTAACATAAATTGATCATCTACGGCAGAAGGCAGCAATAGGGTAGAGGGGCTATGGAATACAGACTTCTCTGCATACAAATCATTGTGTGGGTCTGACTTTGGAACCGTGTAAATAGTTTACGTAATTATAAAAAAATTGAAAAAAGCAGTCTCTCAAAATTTAAGCAAAACCAAGTGAATAGGCATACCCATGATTCCAGTTTGGGGAATAACCACAGAGCGAGGACCCATTCCAGGTTATTTTGAAACTAAATTGTTTTCCTTAGGATTTACTAAGGACAAAACAAATGGGAAAAGAAGAACTTTAACTGTGATGATTGTGTGGTAATTCTGGCATTGTTCTTCCGAGGGTTTATGGCAACGTGGGATTATTCTGGTGATTTTGAGGTTTTCAGAATGTGAGAAAACAGGTGTAGGACCAGTGAGGTCATCTTAAACCCTATAGCCCTGAGCGGACCTGGATGTACCAATAAAACTCACGTGGTGCCTTTTCTCTGATAGTTTGTATTTCCTATCTCTGCCCACTAAAATCAAGAAAGAGCGAGCAAATCACTTCCAATAGCGCCCCATGCTGAGGTTCTGATTTACAATTCCCATTCCCCACTGACAGGGACCAGGGCTCCTGGGGAAACGGATGGGTTCAGGACAGGAGCATAAACCATCCAAGATGAGGCTGAAACATCCGCTGAATCTGTGCTTCCACTGCTAAGCTGTCAAAGACCCAAGGGTCATGTCAAAGGGAGTCAGTGCCTGCCATCACGCAGCCCCAAGAGCCAGAGGGGAAATGGGTCATGGTGGGTGGGAAGGTGCACCAGGTGTGCTTAAACCACCGCTGTCCGCGTGCTTGGGGAACAAAGCACCTCACTGGAAACTGACGGAGTCAAAGTTTTGCCCGTCTTTCCGATACACACTGACTCTCAGGTGGCCAGGTAACTGAGGGAAGGAGCTTCCTCTATGGAGCAGGCCAGCTTATAAATGCAGAAGAAATAACAGCACTAGAATGTTGCCTGCAGCGCCTGCAGGAGTCGGGGACCTTTCAGTAGCCATCGGTGGCTGCTGATGTAGGAAAAAAGGGTCAACAGGATCACTACCAAGAAAGTGGTCTTGTGAAAAAGCCTCACAGGCCCTGATGACTTTCTAGATATGACTGCTGACACGTAACACAGAGGGGGGTAGAGCAATGTGTTAAAAGACATGCCAGGGATGCAGCCAGGCAAGCCCAGACTGAGAAATCCTGTGGCACAAGTGACCCAGCCCTGTCTTCTGACAGGCCTCCCCACTCTCCCAGCACGGGATAAAGTGAGTGTTGCAGCCACAGCTCACAGGCATGTCGGCAAATCGCATGCAGAGCATGGGCCTAGTTCAGCCCAACAGATGGAAGACCCAAGCCCTTCAGACGCAGGAACAATGGCTGACTGCGAAGGCATTATGGAATCGCTGCTGCTTTTTTAGGTGCGGCTGGTAATGATGTCCTTTTAAAAAGCCCTTAGGGTTCAGAGAAATAAGCCGAGATATTTACAGATGGAGCGATGTGACGACCAGAATCTGCTGCAAAGTCCCCGTGGATCCCCGGGGTGGGAGGGGGTGTCAGTCACTGAGGCCAGCACGCGGGGCGTGGGCCTGTCATGCATGTCTGCCTCCATGTCTGTCTGCGACTGTGCATGAAAAAACACTTTAAAGACTCACTGCCAAGTCCAGTGAGCCCACATCTCCTGGAAAGTGTGCAGGTGAACACCTGCACCATTTGCTTCTCTGATCTGGCACAGATAGGGGCTGCGAAAGGACAAAGGAGAGTTGGCTTCCACAGGAAAGTGAGGTAACAGGGCAGAGAGCAGGACGTTGCCCACAGAGGAGGGCCTGGGCATAGTCCCTAGGAAAGGCCCAAGTAGCCGGCCTTCGAATGAGGTGCTGCGATGGCACAGAATGTGAACCACTGCTTTAGCCTGGGCCTGTGGGGCATCCAGGCCATTGTCATACACCAGGCTGGCTTGGGCACCTGTTCTGGAGACTGCCTTTCCTCTTGCTGGGGGTGAGAGGCATGTCCCTGGGAGCCGTCCCTGCCCCCAGCAGGAAGGAGGAGGATGCCACTGTGACACCCTACTTTCCGGAACATGGCCAGGCCCTTTGGCTCTCCGCTGGTGCTCTGCACAGAGGCCTGCATGGCTACAGACCCTGACCTATCACAGCACCACCTGGAAGCACAGTTTTAATAGAGTCTTGTAAGAACCCAGGAAAGCGCATTTGCAGACCCTGGCTCTCTTGTTGCAGAGATGGCAGCCAAGCCCATGTGTGAAGGAGAAAAACGCCAAAAGCCACTCCTGACTGCACCTCATGCTCTGTCTGACAAATAAGACGAGGCCATTGTCCAAGAACACCCTGCTGTGGGTGGACTGCCCCGCTGGCAGCACACTGATTGCGGCCCCATTGCCCACCCCAGCAAATACAACGAGTGTGCACAGTAGTCTGTGGTGGCGTCTCCCCCAGACTGGCTCTCATTTGGATGCTGAAACTGCCTCACAACTTAGCCGCCTTCTAAGTTTTAACCTGAGCAGGCTCCCCCACCCCAGCTCAGGGACACATGCCCAGCCTGGTTGGTCCCTTTAAGGTGACTCCCAGGCTCCCCATCAGAAGTAAGCCTGGAATCAGTGGCAACTCAGCCTCGGCCAGGTGTCCCCTATTGGAAGGAACGGGCCAGCTCAGGCTCAGGGACGGGCCAGGAGGCCAGGGAGCAGCAGGAAATTTATTTTTTCAATTAGAATACCAGGTTGCATTGTGAGCTGTGATTTCTCAGCAGAAATTAATTAGGGCAGAATCTATTCTTTAATGTTGGTCTTGTGGTCTGCATAGGGGTCCCAGGCCCTGGCATGTCACAGACGGTACATGGACATGAATGGCACACGGGGCTGTGGCTGAGGACCCACCCCATGTCACACACACACGGCACGATCTAACACTCGTATCACGACCACAGCAACACGGGAGGATGGGCAGTCACCTCAGACTCACACTATAAGCTCCCCCTGCAGCTACTTCAGACCCACAGAGCCGTCACAGGTCACTTCCTGCAGCTGCCTGTTCCCCATGAAAGAAATTTCAGAGCCAATGAATAATCTAAGGCAAGAGTACACCCAACCCCCAAGCCACAGACTGGTCCTGTTAGGAAGCTGTGGGCAAGCGAGCAAAGCTTCATCTGTATTTGCAGCCACTCCCCAGCGCTAGCATCACTGCTTCAGCTCCACCTCAGATCATCAGGTGTTAGATTCTCATAGGAGCACCGGTCCCTGGTGCCAGAAAGGTTGGGGACTGCTGGTCTAAGGGAAGGGCCTTAAAGCAGGAAACAAGTGATGGCAGCAATTTGGGTTTGGAGGCTGCCCTTCTGTGTGACTCCGTGGGCCAAGGTGCAGCGCTGCCCCAGACACCTGGGTGAATGGGCAGGTAGGCAGGGAGAGGACGTGTCTGTTGCAGCCAGTGCCCACAGCAGAGCTCTTGGGGAGCAGACAGGCACAGACTTGCACATCTGAAGCCCCTCAGAAGTCATATGGGGACACAAAGATGGTGACCTGAGACACATGGTTAGCCTGGAAGGAGCGGTCCAGGTATTCGGACATATCTACATCCACCTCCAGTGTCTGAGGCCCCTCCAGGGTCTGGACGAGGATCAGCTCCCCTGTCTGGCGGTCTGCACGCTGCATCACGAAGTGGCCACGGCTGTTTCCACCCACGATGCCAAACCGCAAGCTGTTGGGTCCGGGACGGCCGGGTGCTGAGGCCGTGGCCATGCGGAACAGTGTGATGGGTGTCGTCAGGTTGGAGGGCAGGGACAGGAAGTGGAAGGAGATGGTCTTGGGCAGGTGGCGGCAGGGCCCACTGTCCATGGGGCAGGGGCTGCGCTCACACTGGCTGGAGCAGAGAGGCAAGAGGTGGCAGTCAGCCTGCGGAGACGTGGGGGCTACCCATCCTGGCAGAGGCCACCAAAGTGACCTCCCTAGCCATGGAGCCCTCACCACAGGCGCCCGGAGCTACAAGCAAGTGCGGCTAGCATCAGGGTGGCGGGTAAGAGATGCTCCCCTAACCCACCTGTGCATGTGTGTGCCTGTATGTGTACATGTGTGCACATATGTGTGCATGTATATGTGTATGTGCCTGGCTGCACTGTGTGTGCGTGGGCCACTGCATGTGCATGTATATTCGTGTGTGTACATGTGTATGCAGGTATACTTGTGTGCAGGTGTTTGCACGTACATGCATGTGTCTGCATGTGTGTATGTGCTATTACTATAGCTTTTACAGAAAAAGCCAGGGAAGGTGAACTAGCAATGGCGTTGCTGGTATTCAAACCTGGAGCCCTCTGTGTGTGCTGAGACCTCCCTGGGAAACAGTAGGACCCAACAGGTAGCTAGCAACACCCTAGAACGTGGCGTTCTGCGCTCTGAAGTTGGCAAACACCAGGGTTATTTGCTGTGTGCCTTAATGTTTAGGGTCAGGGTCATGAGGAAAGCCGTCCAACGTTTCCCGCACAAACACAGATGCAGATCATTGTGTTTGGTGAGTCATATCATCATGGTAATTAATACAGGTCGAATATCGTGTCCAGCTGTTAATCAGGGATGTCTCCAAGGCTGTGACATGCAGGTCCCTCTGTCCTTTCATTTCACTCAGTGACTCTTGAGGTCTTCACTCTCACTGATAGCTAGCTACCTTTTCTACTGCTTCTGATTTACCATAGCTCCCAAAGCATTTCAGGTTTCTAAGCTCGTGAAGTCGATTCATTCTAAAGACAGCTCTATGCTCTCATGAGTTCCTTGTCATAAGAAAATGCACGTACTTTGTCACAGTTGCAGTGATTCTCCCTGGGAGGCCTGTCCCCCAAAAGAAAAAGCTTTCCCAGTGCTGAGGTTCCTAGCAGCTGAGCTATCCAGCACCATGGGGAAGCCAATGATAGCACACTGGGCAGGTGTGTAGATGTGCAGTGTGAACCCGGGAAGGTGGACCTCTCCCAAATTGGTGTGAGGCATACCTGCCCCTGGTCATGCCCCCAGCAGCACCCAGGGGCATCCACAGTTCCATCACCCACCATGTCAGCAGGCACACTTGGAAGTCCCCGTGCAGGGGCCAGTTGGGTTCTGACTGCACAGTAAATGTGTCTGCTGATGGGAGGCAGGGCTCAGAGGTGCCAGACTTCCCTCTCGGACACACCGCACCTTCCCCCAAGACCCTTGGAGGCCCTGGCCGCCACCCTGGGACACTCACAAGGGCGATGTCTTCACATAGCTCACGTTGCCACTGCCCTTGGGGCACTCGGGGCTGACGCACTGGAAGCTTCCGCCGGTGTTGACACACAGGGTTCCCCGGGGACATAGGTGTTGTGGATTCACACACTCGTCGACATCTGAAATATGAGACCCGGCCGGGGAGAAGGCCCCCGATATCCTCAATGTACCCAGCGTCACTGATGGGGCCACTGGAACGTCATGCTCCACACCTAGCGAGCTTTCTAAACAGCCACACGTGTTCTTACAGGGGAACGCCTGTCCCCTTTATGCCTAGAACCCAGGTCCATGGAGGCACTGCTGCATGTGCTGGGGGACACCCCCCACTCCCCACCGACCCATCTTCCTCCCCAGCACAACTGCTCACAAAGGCTGGGTAGCACAGAGGAGTGCCCACCACAGCGCTTCTCAGGCCTGCCTCTGGCCCTGCAGCCTCCCTCCAAGGCTGCGCCACTTTCTTGGTGACTGAATCACCAACAGCTCTCTGCTCAGCCTTACAAGACTGCACTCTCCCGTACGTGAACTCTGTTCCCTTCCCGTGAGCTCCCTGGCTGGAGACTGTTTCTTCCCAACCCCACACAATTTTGCGTGGCCTTCATGAACACTTGTGGGACAGACGCATGGATGGGTGGATGGACAGATGGACGGATAGGTGGACGAATGGGTGAGAGAGATGCATGGAGGGATGGACGGATGGATGGATGGACGGATGACAGCTACCTGGATGCCTTCTACTCCAGTCCCAAATTGCCCACTCCTCTGAGTCCTGCAGTGGATCCTTGACAGGCTGTCACTGGGAGCTGTCTCTCTTCACCCCCATGACCATGGAGGAGCCCTCTGTCCTCTCTCCCCTTTCTCTCCCAGAAGTTTGGAGCCATTATCTGGCTAGGTTCTTTTCCGTGCCCTGTCTCCATGGATGAGTACAGCTGGGGACACAGGTCTGTCCCTTCTCCAGTTGAGGCAAGCCTGTGTTAGCAAAATCATTTCCCCCCAGAGACCTGTTGCAGCATCAGGGTTCAGGCCTGAGATGTTGGGTGATCACACTAGGGTATAAGTGCCTGTAGGTGCTTCCCTTTCAGATGCAAATGTGGGCCTGCGCAGGCTGTGGAGAAGGGGCCCTGTGCCAGGAGCCTCATGTCCCCTCCAGATTGCAGGACACAGGGACTGTCTGGCTGCTCTGCCTTTGGGTCCAGTCCTGGCTAAAGACATTGCTGAGCAGGAGGTCATGACCTGACCTTGAGAATAGTTACTCCCATAAGGTTGGGAGAGACTATTTGCCAGGTTGGTGAAGAGATTTGCTTTCCTATTTAAATCAGTGATGATGTAGCCTGATCTGAGATTCATTGGTGTTTTTTAACAGACTAACTACATTTGAGACTTTGACTCCCTCAACAGCCACCACATCCCATTCTGAGGTCCTGGTGGGTCAAGAGAGCAGTACCCGCCTTCTGCTGTGGGCCCACTCACCCTCGCAGCTCTTCCCATCGGGCAGGGTCCGGTACCCGCTGGGGCAGGTGCAGCGGTAGGAACCGGGTGTGTTCACACAGGCGTGCATGCAGAGCCGGGGCCGCCCCTCTTGCCCGTAGAGCTCACACTCATTCACATCTGAGGACAGAGTGCCAACCTGACTCTGGGAGCCCCACGGAAGCCCCAGCCCCAGCAGGCATGCACCCCTTCTCCTGAACTGGGGGCCCAGAGGACCAGCAGAAGTGGCTCCACAGGAAAAGCTAAGCCCCAGAGGGTACAGAGATGGCCCCAGATGCCTGCTGAGCTTGGCCTGTCTACTAGTGTAGCCCTTGCCCCTGTGGTTCCAGCCCGGATGGAGAGACAGGGGCTCAGGGCTCTGCCAGGCCAACCTGCCTAGCAAGCCTGCCCTCCCCATCCCCTTGCGCTGCTTTTCCATAAGGAGTGCGTGCTGGGTGCATCTGCAGGTGGCAGGGCAGAGGTGGGAGCCCCTTCCCCCCTGTGTTCCTCCCATACTAGCCCCGTCCCCGTGGTGAGGGCCCTATGGCTCACCTACCCTGACAGATGCTGTCTCCTGCTGTGCTGCTCAGCTGGAAACCAGCCTCACAGCTGCACTGCCGGGTCCTCTCCACCTGTGCGCAGCGGGGCGCACGGCTGAAGGCGGGGTCACCAGCCACACGCTCAGGGGCTCCTGCAGGGACAAGACTTCTCAGGGCCACCCCTCCCCCCACCTTACCGGCTGGACCACAGGAGGTGCTGGGGACAGCGGCCCTCAGCACTTACTCTGCAGGCGGGGGAGGAGGGAGGTAACTGACCAAAACCCAGCGGAAGGGCTGGAAGGGCTAGGGGACAGGCGCACAGAGCACAGCGCAGCAGGCCCCCCCACCCCCGCCCCGCCCATGCTAACAGCTATCACTGAAGCTCCAAACAGGTTTGGGGATTCTTTTTTGTGTATTCTTCACCCTTTTCTAAAGTGTCTAAGTTTTTGTTTATTTTTTTAACGAAGAACAGGAAGCAATTTTCTAATCAGAAAGAATTAGATTTTTAAAGTTCAAAGGATTCAGAGCTTTCATTTGTTTGAGAGAGGCTGTAGGGGATGAGGGTGAAAGTAATGGGATGCATAGAGGACACGTGTGACTCCACGTCTGTGAAGTCCTCAGAAGAATCGGATTCAGAGCCAGAAGTAGAGGGTTGTCACTGGGAGGGGAGGATGGGGGCCATTGTTCACTGCACAGAGCATGTTGTGTATGTTTTTCCATGAGAGAAAGGAAAAGGTGAACGGGTTATTTTAAAAAGCACTGTGGGACAGGCTCCTGGAAGCTGAGAAGACAGAGGCAGGGCTGAAGGAGGGGCTGGCAGGCGCCTCTTTGGTCTTCGGCTGTCCAGGGATGCGCCTGCCAACCCCTCCTTCCCTTCCTGGGGCAGAGTCCTGTTGAGGGGACACTTTACACATCAAGTGATCCTGGGCCTGAGGGACAGCAGCCTAAAGTCTGATACACAAGCCACCAGTGCCCAGGACCAGCACATCTGGGCTGAAGGGGGCCATTTCTTTTTCTGCCCTGTTTATAAGTAGGAGACGCAGTGGGGCTGCCAGGAAGAGACTGACTCTAGCACCTCCAGAATCTGCACAGAGCAGCATGGGGACAGGAGCTGGAGGGTCCCCTGTGCTCTGGGGAAGGCACCTCCTCCTGGAGAGGCTCCTAGCAGGCTGCCTCGGCCCAACCGAATCAAGACATAAAGCGGCCAGTCTAGGGCGGCAACGCTTAGCGACCTGGGGTTGGGTCCAGTGCCAGCACACTGAAGACTGGCAAAGCTCCTGGTCTCTGGACCATGCCAGCTGCACGTCCCTCCTCCCCAGGGCAGATGCCACGTGGGAATCACAGAGCACCCTCTAGGCTTTTCTGTCTTTAGGGTCAGACCTTTCTGTATAGGACATTTTGGTTGCTGCGCAATTGGGGATCCCAATCTGTCCCTGTAGGTTCCCCACTGGATTTCCTGGCCATCTGCACAACAGCCACCCTGCACCTTGGACTCAATGTGGGCCCCCTCACCACCAGCCAGATGTCCCATCACCCAGCTCTATAGACACTTGGCCTCTATCATTAACTACGGTTGACGGGTGTGGCGGGAGTGTTTGAAGGAGCTGGTCTGCAGTGGAAATGTGACCGTGTGGAGATGGTAGCATGGAAACGTCCCAGGCCCAACCCCAGTCCGTGGAGTTTTCAGACTGTGATTCAGTCCTTCCACGAGAACATTCTTCCATAAGAAGGATCAGAATTGGTTACACAAAAGCACTAAAGCCCTCCCCAGAAATGGCCTCAGGGTACCAGCGGGGTCAGTGGGTGTGACACTGAGAGGAAGAGCCCACTCTGACCTGCCCAAATCTGTTGGCCCTTGACCAGGGTCCCCATCTCTTGGCAGCGGGATGTCCTCGCCCAGCCCCATATGACTACGTACCAGTCTGGGCATGGTGCTGACAGCGGCTCCCCGTCCTTCCTGGGGGACAAACGCATTTGTACTGGTTGACTCCTTCTACGCATGTCCCACCATTCTGACAGGGCTGGCTGGAACACTCGCTGATATCTAGGAAAAGAAAGAATGATCAGATACAAGCGTGAGTTCTGATCCTACACAAACAAAACACGGATGAGAGGACTTTGACACATTGCAGGATAACTCCAGCTCCCGTTCCCCACTCTGCCCTTGCCACTGTCCCCACCGTGAGAGCAAATGCAGTCTACACATCACTCAGCAGGCCACGGACCCCGGCCCACCTGGAGCTCTGCCACCAGGGGGCTGCTCATCAGCCACCCCCACCTGCCAGCACCCAGGCAGAATCCCTTGAAGGATCTCCATTCAGGGGTTCTGTTAATGGGAGGGAGGTGGGAAATGCCCTCTCTTTCCAGTCTGGCTGTGATCCTCCACTGTGCCTGCTCCTATGGGACCAAGGCGTTCTGACCCTGCACCTGACCTCAAGGTCAGCAAGGGGCAGTTCCTTACATCCTCACAGCAGCCCTGTGGAAGGGCTCAGAAGATGCACCTTGACAAGTCCGGTAGGTTTTCTCCATGTGGTACTTTTTCTTTGCTTATTTATACCTTTCTGTCCTCTTTTGTTTTCCCATGAGGAACATTCATGAATTTCCCAATTAGGATAAGATGACTTTGACATCCATGGGCCCATCTGCGGGCTGCGAGTCCACAAGCCCAAGGCTCAGGTCGGTGACCACTAGCTGACTACAGCATCCCGGGACGGGTCAGGACCATGTCCTCTCCTGCTGTGTCCAGTAATAGGAGGGAGGGGCTCTGCTCCTGGTGAGGGCAGCAGCCTTATGTGGGTGGGTTGTTAGGGGTCTCCCTGTGGCCTTGGGACTGCGATGTCATGTAGACTGTGACATTGCATTTGTCACGGGAGAACCCAGACTATCCAGGCGCTGCCTGTCCTGGGGGGCCTGTTCAACCCGTTAGTAACCTGGGCCTGGCTGCACCCTGCACACTTTGTTTTCAGACAACTGGCTTCTGAGACTGTGTCTGGAAGCAGAGCACACGAAGCCACAGGGCCTGGCGTTCCCATTGTTGTTCACTGTCCAGCCCTGTCGTCCTCACTTGTGGAGTCCACAGTCACGGGCCCTGGAGTGGGCATGGAGCCTGGTGCAAACACTGGTGCCTTTCAGTCTGTGTGCAGAGGACCCAGCAGGGGGCACTGAGCATGAGGAACCCAGACAGGTGGGGGTGGGGTGAGGGTGGGGTTGTGCCCAGATGCCTGGAACCCTGCTGCCCAGGGCCGATATCACTAACAGCCTCCACGCAGATGCTCCATCCTTATCTGATCCGCTGCTGGAGACGTGCCATGGCCACTGCCCAGTCCCAGCGCCCGCTCTGTCCTGACTGAAGGACATGGTCATCACATCACGTCTGCCCCGGGCGGTGACACTTAATGATGCCTTTGGGGTTGCGGAGAGGCTGGCGAGTGGAAGCACGCTGCTGCTCCCGCCACCCACTGTAGCTGCGCCTGCTGTGCCCTCCAGCCGGGCTCCGGGTTCTGCTCACGCGAGCCAGTCCTGGCCATTGCGTTTCCAGTTCCTGCCAGTGTTCTGTCATTGCGTGTCAAACCTCCCACGTCTCCTGTCACCTCACTTCGAGGTTCCGTAAATGTCGCGCATGCTGCCTTTCCATGGTTTTCATCTTTTAAATGTTTCTTGCAGCTTGGGCATGTTGTCACAGCATCCATCTGTTCTACAGGCATGTCTTTCTGGTGTTGCCTCATCGTCCTTAGACTGTACCCTCTGTTTTCTCGCAACAGTGTTTATGGGGTTTTCCGTCACGTGTACTGGGGGGACACGTTTTCCTGCACAGCTGTTCTAACCGCCTGGCCCTGGTCTCCCAGCTCTGCTCGGGCTCAGCTGCACCCGCTTCCATCTCCCCCACTTGGATCCGGACCACCTCCTTCCTCCTCATTGATCTCACTGGTTGGGCCTAATTTGGAGTCACCTCCCATAGAGTCTGGACAATATTGGGGCTTGTCCTGGAATGTTCTGAGAGTCCCTGGGGGCCAGGCAGCTCCAGGCACAGAGACTTCCTATTGCAAAGTGGGGCTCACAGCTGAGAAAACTGGCTTGGGAAGGCCAGTGTCGACACGAAACCCAACAAAACGATTCAAGTTTGAAGAAAAAGAAAAATCCTTTGAGCATCATCCAGGCAAAAAGACCGGGATATGATGGCAGCAACAGCATTAGTTAAACAGAAGACACAGAAAAACGAACGTATTTAAGACATTCGAGGAAAGAAACAGGAGCCAAGAATTTTATGTCCAATTGAAATGACATCCAGTGCTAATGGTGCACTTTCTGAAAGTGCGAGAACCTGGGGGATCAACCCCGGGCTCTTGAGGAACCAGCTCGAGAGAGGCCCACTTGCGGACGACGGCGATGTCACCAAGGTGTCACAGGAGACAAGACGAGAGTGGGGGCAGAAGGCCGTACCGCTGTCTTGTCCCCCAAAAATGAGACCTTCCGAGTCTGATCGAGGCTCTTGAGTTGGGTCCCAGTGTGTAAGGACAACAGAGGCAATGTCATGAACTTCCAGTCATGTGCAGGCAAGTCCTGGGGGGACTGAACACGGTGACTGCGGTCAGCTCGGCCGCAGGACACACACGAAAGCTGTTAGAATAAATCCTATGAGTTCTCAGCACAGGAGAAAACCTGTTATTCTTTTTGTATCTTTTTGAGATGCTGGCAGTCTTTCAGGGTCCAGGGTGAATCCAGGTACTGGCATGTCCCCCGCTGTGTCTGCATGTCACATGGCTTATATTTCCTGGTTGGCTCCCAACTGGTCTGAGAGCTGGTACCTGTAACCATCCTTTGAACCTGCCCTTCCTGGGAGACAGGAAACCACATCTAGGCCCCGAGAGTGGGGCTGGCTGCCCTGCGCCTCCTGTGTCACCCCACGCACGTCGGGACAGATCGTGGGTTTTCTGGTTCTCCGGTATGTTCTCGAGCCATTCAAAGTCCTCTCTGCCACTCTCCACAATCTGTTTGTGTATATAACATCTGCATTTCCCCTTCTACTCTCGGGCTAAAGCCGTGGGTGTTGTGTCCCAGCAGATGTCACTTGAACCCTGCCCCAAAGGTGACTGGAGAGCGTGAAGCATTGACCGTGCATTTCTGAAAAGGACCCCCATGGCGTGAGCCTAGCCTGATTGTTCTGGGCACCAAGCAAGCATTTTGTAAGCCCAGCACAGTGAGAAGACAAGCTTGTCATGCTGCCCCACACCCAGCAGTCTGTCCTGGAGCCTGTCCACACCAAGTCCCAAAGTGGACAGTAGAGACACCTGGGAATGGCCTTGACACCACAGGCCACCAAGAGTCTCACAAACAAGCTGCAGCCTTGGGGAGCGTTTCTGTGCAGTGCTTCCCTCAGACCCCTTCCTGGTCCAGTGCTGGGGAGAGCAGGGTACTGAGTCCCCTCAGCCTGTCCTCCAGCTCTGTGGCCTTGGGCAAGGCCCTTCTGTGCCTCAGTTTCCCCATATGTCAACAAGAGTAAATTGTTGGGAGGGTCTAGGGTGCCCTGCCGGTGGAGCTGGCCATCAGACATGGTGGCTACAGATAGATCTGTGGCGAGGAATGGTGGAGGAGAGGCCAAAAGTGTGCCAAGGAGTGACCCTTTGTCCCTGGCAGACCCCTGGGCAGCAATGCCTGGCTGGGAGGGAAGGAAGGACCCACCTCTGCAGTGCGGCCCCTCTCCCGTCCAGGTGCCATTGGGGAGGCACAGCACGCTGCTGGGCCCGACCAGCCGGAACCCGGGGTCACAGGCAAAGTGGACTTCGTGACCCGCTGAGTACTTGTTTCCGAACTTTCTGCCACCCAGAGGGGCGTTCAGCGCAGGGCAGGGCACTGTAAGGAGAAAAGGAAGGACATCCCCCAGTTAACAGGTATCTGGCCTTCCGAATGCCTCCTCCAGGCTAAGTGCCAGGCTGCACAGCTTTAAATTTTGTGCCTCATGGAATCCTCAGAGTGCATTTGTGAACCATGAAGGAATGTGGCTCAGACAGCCTGAGAGCTGGGCACAGCCCCGAAGGGGGATGGTCAGGGAGGGACTCCAAGCTGCACTGACCATCGGCCACTCTGCCTTCTTGAGTCCAGCAAGGGCTCAGCACCCCTAGGCCTCCACATCTGCTCTTCCCTCGGCCTGGATGGCTCTCTCCCAGAACACCCCATCGCTGGTTCCTCCTCACTCACGTGGGTCCCCACTGAATGCCCGCCCCTCTCAGAGTGTCCTCCAACCATCAAGCTTCACTAAAACTTCCCAGGGCACCTGCCGTGCCGTGAGTCCCTTGGCTTCCTTTCAAGATTGGTGACCCCTGGAGGCATCTTGTCCACATGTTTGTTTCCACATCTGCTGTCACTCTTCTCCCTGGGACGCAGCTTGAGGGCAGCCTAGGCCTGGCCTGGGTCCCTGCTGCACACCTGGCCCAGCCCAGCTCCTGCCCCACAGCAAGCACCCAATAAATAATCTTCGAACACAGGAATGAATAAAAACTGATTGATTATGTTTTTACAATGCGCCAGGCACTATATTAGGCTCTCAAGGGTAAAACAGACAAAACTCAGCTCCCAGGAAACCCCTTCTAGCAGGGGACACAATTAATAACTGAGACCCAGGAGCAGACAGCAGAATGAGATAAGAGGTTTCAAGTATCATGCAGAAAACAGTAGGGAGCAGTGCTGGGTGGCACAGCAAGGGGCGCAGCCATGCACTTGGTGGTCGGGACGTCTCACTGGAGCCAAGAATTGAGGATGATGGAGGCGTAACCACGTGGAATCTGGGTGGACAGTGGGACAGGCCAGTACCAGCACCCCTGGCAGATCTGAGGAATGTCAGAGACCATCGTTTGGGGGAAGGGAGTGGGGTCTCTTTGGGGTGAGGAATTCTTAAAACCCTCAGGAAAACACCTGCTGAAGCAATTCACAGATAAATCATACCTGCACACAGTAGGTGCTCAATAAATGTTAGTGAGATTAGTGAATGGATGTAGTCAATTAAAAATTAATTTGCTGTCACCCCCCAAATAGGAGCCAAGGGCCCCTGTCCAATGGACAGCATGCCCCATGGCTGGTCATTTCACTATGAGCATGTCCCCGTGTCTGCAGGCCGAAGGGAAGCCCCTGTACTTTGCGGGGGGGCTATTGTGTGAAGAATAGAGTCACGGGGGAAGCGAGCCTGGCGACGTGAGGAACACGAGGCTGCTCGGAACAGCCCTGAAGCCGATCGGTTGTGACGGTTCCATGTAGGAGTGGCTGGGGAATGGGAAGGAATGCTGAAGACAGGAGGGGAAGGCCAAGGATTCTAGAGGATGAGAACGTGTTCTTCCCGACCCCCAGCAAAATGCCCTTCAAAAAGAAAAATAAATAAAGCTAAAGAGAATCATCCTGGCAGCTGCACTTTGGTCCAGGGCTAGCTCCTGGGCAAAGGCATGGCGCCTACCCTGCAGTGGGGGTGCTGGCAGCAGCCAGCCTGAGTCCAACACATGAGAGAGAGAACAATTGGTGTTAATTGCTTAAAAAGAGAATTGGCCACTTAAAAACATCTTGTGTGGTTCAGGGAAGAAAGCCCTCGAATCTGGGGGTGGGAGGGCTAGTGACTTAACAACAGGCCTTTCTGTCTGTGCTCGTGGCAGAGACCTTGCACTGGGCTGCTGTCTTACAAATTATCTCCTGCTCGTTCTTCTGAGAACCCTCTCCAGGCTACAGGCCGCCCAGAAGCATTCGACAAAAGCTCCCAGAAGCACAGGAGGGATGTGTGCGGTTGAGCCCCTGGCAGATAAAAGTCGCTGGCTCTGGGACCCACTACAGTGAACTCCTTTCTCTCGGCCTTGGTTTCCCCATCTGTAGCAAAGAGGATGGCCGCCCTGCCTGGCTCAGAGTCCAGCTGTGACGAGCCCTGGGGCCCCATGTGCCCAGGGAAGTGTGAGGGGGTCTGGCTGGCAGGTTGGGCTCTGCACAGGGGCGGTGGGGAAGGACAGGAAACCAGGTGGGCATGTGGTGCTGAGACTTGGGCTCCGATGCCACCGTCTCTGAAAACGTAGGGAGTCCAGTGCCTTCCCAGGAACTTCATCTCACACGGCAAGGAAGGGCCTTGACAGTGGGTCTTACGTGGGCGACTGACGTCCAATGCTCCATGGGCTTCTGCCCTAGAGCATGGTTACTGCCCCCGCCATCCCCTTCTCTCTGAGGAGAAGCTGGAGGGAGGGAATCCAGCCACCCACCTTGGGACTTGGCAGCACGAAAGCCGTGAGGGGGACCAGCAGGAGGACAGCCCGGTGTCTGTCGAGCCCGCCCGCCAGACAGATGGATGTGTCCGCGGCCCTTCTGCTCGCCCTGCTGGTCTGACAGGGACTCTCATGGAGCCAGTGTTGGTTCACAGGCCTGGCGTGCCACACTGGGGGACGCTGCTAGCGGGGAGGTTGCATGTATACGGGGACGGTGAGTATGTGAGAACTCTCTGTGCTTCCCACCTACCTTTGCTGTGATCTTGATACTGCTCTAAACATTAGTCTGTTAAAGTAAAAAAACAAAAACCCAAACCGGTGCCGCTTGGAGTCCCCCTGGGTAGGGATAGGGAACAGGGAACTGCTGTGAAAGTGGTGACCTTAGACAACTGTGTGACGGTGACATGCAGTCGTGACCACGACTCCTGGACTGGAAGGTCGGGGAGGAGGCAGTGGCTCAGACGAGAGTGGGACAGGAGAGCCTGGGCGGAGGGTGCACGCGCCCCGTCCATGCCCAGCTGCTGGGGGTACCTACCTGGGGGAGCGTCTGGGCCCACTCTGCTGGCGGAGCTCTGCAGCGCAGCCAGCCGGCCCCTCAGGTCACGCAGGCCCTCAGCGAAGCGCGTCTCTTGGGCCTTCAGCAGCTGCTGCAACTGGCGGGTGGCCGCGAGGACCTGCTGCCTGCTGACACAGTTCTGGGGAGAGAGAAGTCACACGTTCTGGGTGTCCAGAAGCCACCTAGACCCTTGGGCCCAGTGGGGCCACCTGCATGTGGCCTTTGAAAGTCCTTACCCTCCCAGAGTTCCTGCAGGATGGTAACCTCTGTGACTTAGATTGAAGGCCTCAACCGCACCTCCCACAGCCCCTGTTCAGCCTCCACAAAAGCAAGACCCTGTCCTCAGAGCACAGGGCCAAATGGATGACTCTGAATGGCTGGGTAGCGAGGGCAAATATGAAAACAACCCACAGGGTTAGGGAAGCATTCGACAAAAGTCAACGCCCATTCTGATGATGTTTTAAAGGCTCAAAAAACGAAAAAGAGCGCTCCTCATGATAAAGACCAACTCAAGGCAACCCACCATCACACTTAGTGACAAAACATAAGGTTTCCAGTTTGCACTGCTTGTAAGAGCCAGGATGTGAGAAGGGGTGGGGAGGGGTGACCACAGGGGTGGCTGCAGAGCCTTGGCCTTGGGGGTCGCTGGGGCTGTGTGTCACCTCGGCATGGCAATCTCAACCCGACCGTGTGCCTGCTCAGGACGAAGGAGACCATCAAGAAGAAGATGACGGTTACCATTAGGGACAGGCTAATGGGTCATTTATTTTTTATGCTTAAATTTTTTTTTCTACAATGAACATTAGTTTTATAATTTTTTCTCAGGGCAGCAGGACAGCTGGGAGTCCCGGGGCTTCCAGCCTGGCCACCACTGTGGGAACAGCCACTGCCACTGTCCCAGGGAGGCCTTCAGGCCACTGTACCTCGAAGATTTCGCCAAGCAGATGACTCACTGGCCTGATTCAACAGGCGCTTTGACACAGCTGAGTCTCCAGTTGCCCTAGGAACTGGCTAACTCGTGGGGGCCCTTGGCCCCACCCCAACCAGGACGTGGCTGCAAGCACAGCTGCTGGGGAGAAAAATTCTGTTTGTGTCCATTCTTCCTTCCCATGTGATCCTCGCACTCAGGACTGGCGCCCAGCAGTGGCCTCCTGCAGTGCCTACCTGCCCAGCACTATGCCATCATCCCACCAGAACTCATTTCCCACACCTATACCCTGCCCCTGAAAAAACAAGACCTGCTTTTATAGACAGCCTCATGGCCTGGGTGTGATTTACGCTTGTGAGGCTCACAGTCCACGGAGCCATTTGCCACTTCGGAGAGGACCCTTGGGGCAGCGCCCCTCCAGGAAGACCTGGGGTTGTGTCTCTCCAACAGATGACCATATCGAGGCTGAAAATGCAGCGGCTTTCCCTAAGTCATGGGGCTCAGGAGGGCGGAGCCAGGCTGAGAACCCGCCATCTCCCTCTCCCCCTACTGTGAGCATCAGTGCCCCCGGCCTGTTCCGTTGCCCTTTCCATTTGTTCTTCGCAGGCCCCGTGTGGTCAGTGGCCTTGATTCATCTGCACTAGGAATTGGTCCCTCAATGACCCAAGCAAAATACCTACCAGGAGTGGACTTCTGACTCCCGGGCTAATTTCAGGATGGGAGTTGGGGACGGCAGGCAGGTGAGGAGGGGTGCAGGAAACAGATCTCCTTGCATCGAGCCAAGGGGCAATACCTCTCTGTGCTACAAGCCGGCCAGTCATGACAGCTGAGACAGGGCTGGTAAGCCAGGCTGTCCCGGGGAGAACACGGAAGGGCTGAGTTTTGAAGCTGGGGACAGGAGATCAGTGCCGGGCCACGGCGGGCGGGGGCGGGGGTGGGCGGACATGGGGACTGCAGTAAATAGAGAAATAAGGGATGCGTGGTGTGGTGGGAAGGGGCTCACATTCTCCTGGGACACTGGGCAGCCAAGTGCATCTAACCTCAATGCTCCTGGCTGGGCACAATGTCCTCTGCTTCTGGTGACACCTCCCAGAACCCTTCTTAGTACCTGCACCGGGGAAGACAGGCACCAGATATTCTCCTAAGTGCTCGTTAGCAGTGAGGTGGGCTCACCCAATCACAAGGGAAAAACTCCTCAGGCCAGCACACTAGGGCTGTGTGCCAGGAGGGGAAGGATGGCGATGGGTTGTGGGCCGGCTTGCTGAGGGGAGGTCAGGAGGCCTGGCCCATTCCTGCCTCTGACTCATGGGGGTGACACTGACGGGACAAGGTGTGGGGCAAGGAAGACCCTGTGAGCCCCAAAATAAAGCCACGTACAGATGGACAGCTAATCTAGGACGAAGTAGCCGAGATATACAACAGGGAAAGGATGGGCTCTTCACTTGCTCAGGCTTGGATTAAAGACTTGAACATAAGACATGAAACCATAAAACTCTTAGAAGAAAACATTGACGTCGGTCTTGGCAATAATTTTTTTGGAGTTGACACCAAGGCAAAGGCAAGAAAAGCAAAACTGAACAAGTGAGACCATGTCAAACCAGAGAGCTTCTGCGCAGCAAAGGAAGCCACCACCTGAGTGGGAGAAAATATAGGCAAATAATGTATCAGATAAGGGATTAACATCCAAGATATATAAAGAACTCATACAACTCAATAGCAAGCAAGAAAGAAAGGATGAAAGAAAGATTCAAAAAAGAGGACCTGAATAGGCATTTCTCCAATGAAGACACACAAATGACCAACAAGTACATGAAAAGACACCAGCACCACTAATCATCAGAGAACGGTAAATCAAAACCACAGTGAGACAGCACCTCACACCTGTGAGAATGTCTGTCATCAAAAAGACAAGAGATAAGTGCTGGCGAGGACGTGGAGAAAGGGAACTCCCGTGCGCTGTGGGCGGGATTGCAAATGGGTGCAGCCACTTTGGAAAACAGTATGGAGGTGCCTCAAAAAATTATAAATAAAACAATGATGTGATCCGGCAATCCCACCTCTGGGTATTTATCCAAAGGTAATGAAATCAATATATTAAAGAGATAGCTGCACCCCCATGTTCACTATAGCATCATTCACAATAGCCCAGACATGGAAGCAATGGAAGCTACCTAAGTGCTCTCTGATGGATGAATGGATAAAGAAGATGTGATACATATATCACATATATAGATATATATAAATCTACCTATCATCTATCTAATTCAGCCATGAAAAAGAAGGGAATCCTTCCATTTGTGACAACATGGATGGAGCTTGAGGACATCATGCCGAGTAAAATAAGTCAGACAGAGAGAGATACATACTGTATGATCTCACTTATGTGTGGAATCTGAAAAACTGAACCCAGAAACTGGGAATGGACTGGTGGTTGCCAGAGGCCAGGGCTGTGGGTGGGGATCTGGGTGAAAGTGATCACGAGTTTCAGTCATGAGATCGGTAAGTCCTGGGGTATAATGGGCAGCACGGTGACTGCAGTTTGTAGTACTGGGTTGTATATTTGAAAGTTGCTAAGAGAGCAGACCTGAAAAGTTCTCACTGTAAGGAAAAAAAAACAATCTCTGATTGTGAGCAGTGATGGATGTTAACTAGACTCATGGTGCCGACCATTTCACAACATATACAAATATCGAGTCACTGCATCGTGCCCTTGAAAGCAATATAACACTGTATGTCAATTATAGTTCAATAAAACTAGGAGGAAAAGAAAAAGCATTCTCAAGGAAAAAAAATCAAAAAGGAAGATCCTTGTTCTCGGCAAGCCCATGTGTGGTGTGAGGACCGGGTGCCAGGGGAACAGACTTAGTGTCTCTCGGCACGAGGCGTGACAAGCCTACTGCAGCTGGTCCTTGGTCCAAAGCATGAGTAGGGCCCCGGGAGCCATACTCAGAATCTGTTGCCTGTTGTTGGGCTTGGGTGCAGGCCTGAGTTTACCTGCACAGCTGGGACAAGGTGGAAACGCTTACAGGTGTGCACCGTCAACCCAAGAAAGCATAAGCATAAGCCTACGAAGCAGCAAACAAAGAGCGAGTTCCCATGACCTGAGATGGCACCGCTGACTATGGTTCGGTTTCCACTTCTGGTCAGGACACACATACACACACACACGAGCGTCATCTCGCACACGCTGGGCTGCAGGGTGCGTGTCCTGTCAGCTCTCTTGTCGACACTGGACAGTGGCCTGGGGCGCAACGTCGCTTCGGTTCCCGTGCTCTTTGCAGTCTGGGATGGGCTCCTCACCCACCACCTGTCTGCTCACCCACCTTCCCACGCAAGCTGTCTGTCTCACCCTGCTCCCTGTCCTGGGAACAGACCGCTTCCCTCTTTGCAAATGTGAGGTCGGCGGAGGGACTAAGAGGGTTGGGGGACAGGAAGCAGGCTGAACCCCCAGGCGCCATCATTTCGGACTGGCCCTGCCTCAGCAAATGACTGGCTTTCAGCAGTGCCTTCCTGTCTCAGAAAAACTCAACTGTATAAATCAACCACAGGCGCCATCTGCCCTTCCAGAGCTGACCCTCCTCTAGCAAAGGTCAAAGCCACATGGGCAGGGAGGCAAGCCCCAGAGCCTCCACCTGCACAGGCTGCCTCCAGGGCCCTCTAGGGCCCCATTTTCAGTATTGCCTCAGAGAGATACCCTCGGACAATATGTTTCCATCCCTCCAGAGCCTGCCCCACACCTGGCTTATGCCACTAACGATAAATTATGAAAAAAGTTTCTGTTTCTTCCACTTCATAGCTCTTATTTGAAGTGGAACCAAGAAAGGACATTCAGTGAAACACTTTCATCTTTGAAGAGAAATAGGTCAAGATTCACCACTTCTGTCATCAGACTCTTCAAAAGGATGGGCATTTGGTCTAACTGGACACCAACAGCTGTGTTTGCACAGTGAGAGAAGTCACTCAGGCTAGGGTGGGGGCAGTGTAGATAGTTCTGGAATGCAGGCCAGTGCTGAGAATTGGGAGGGTGGGCACTGGGAGCAAGGAGGACACAGGAGGACACCCTGGCTGCCCCACACCACCCCAGGGAAAACCATGTCCCCCACCCAGTGTCTCACAGCACTGACTGCTGGGTCCTGTGGAGATGCCCCACAGCGTACAGCATGGCTTTGCCCCTGTCCCTTAGCCAGTGTGCTGTGGGGTGGACTTCCAGG